CAGCTTATTTTTTTAATATAAAAGAAGTAATAGATGCTACAGAAAAAAAAATTGATGGCATAGCAAATTATTTACATTAATTAACATTTGTTGTGAAAGGGAAAAACAAGAGCCTTTAGATATAAAAATGAAAATTTTATTTTTTCATTTTTATATCTAAAGGCTCTTGGTTTATGATTTTCATTCGCTTTGCTGTAGCCTTTTCAATATTATCCAAAAATATTTCTCAAAATCTAATTCATCACTGGAAGAGAATGATAGAGACTCAATTGCAATATCTGCAGAATTGACTGTTCCTGATTCGAATTCTCGAATTGCTCTGAGAATAATTTCATTCATAATAGATGACTTTCTTTCTTTGTTCATAGATGGCCTTCTTTGCCTGGTTTAATTTGTTCATCATCCAAGAAAATTCGGTGTTTTGGATCTACATATATTGAACCTAGCAAGATCTCATTGTCTAAGAAACTAGTTTCTCTTTTCTTCATTGAAGAAATGATTCCTTCTGCAATAAACCCCTCCATTTCAGAAAGAACAAACATCACAATTCTTCCATTCTCGCCTCCTGTTAATTCTTCAGGATTGTAGCTTTTTTGTGGCTATATTCAGTGTAGAAAGAAAGTGCTTTCCAACTCTGCAAGATCATTCCATAGTCTTTCTGTTAGTGCAACATTAGGGTTATCTACATCTTCTAAAAAAGTTCTTCTTAATTCTAACAAACCTCTTTATCATCAAATACGTACTTCCTTATTGCGTTGCTTGATCAATAATTGCTCCTTTTCCTGCTCACTTTCTAAGAGTGGTATCAATTTTGGGAGTTCTTGCTGCTATTCCTGCTTACCAGTGAGATTTGTAACTAAATGAATCAGTTTAATCACTAATGGCAAATATCACATCCATCCTTCTCCCTTATATTTATTTCTTAACATGTCAGTAAAATAGAATATAACTATTTATTAATGTATATAGTTCATAAATAAAAATAATAACTCAGCTTGTCATTAATTTTTTTTTTTTCAATTCATTTAAATTTCATTTCAGATTCAAACTTTCCAACAAAAACTGGAGTCGGAGTCGACCTGTTTTTAGCAACTCCAGCTCTGACTCCTTTTACCCCAAAATCTGCCCGATTCCGACTCCACAGCCCTGTTTTAAATGATGTGAAATTGCTTGCTCAGTCACTCCTAATGTAAGTGCAAGTTCTACTTGCATTTAGTATGAATCTTCATGCAATAAATGCTTCCAGTTCCACATCTTTATACACTTTCATCCTTCTGCTATGTTCTTTGTCTTTAACATCAAATTCACCATTATTATACTTTTGAAATCACTCACAACAACTTCTCTCACTTGAGGCAGCCTCATCATATGCTTCTACAAGCAATCGATGTGCCTCAGCTGTAGATTTCTTCAAATTAAAGAAGTAAATCAAATGTTTCTTGAAATGATGCTCATTCGTCTCAAAAACTTGACTTTTTGCACAAAAAGATATATGATGCTGATACAAGATCGTTAATATTTCAAGGTTATTGTTCCCAGACATCTGACCTTGTGATATGTTTTACATCAGACAATTTTAAGCATGCTATTTTTTGATCAAATGGCTTAGACTTATTTGTACTCCTAGTAAAAGGCTGCATCTAGTAGTAGGCATTATGTTGAAATGTACAGGGGAAGTATTAGGGGATGTTATATGATATTTAGCAACATATATCTAAAATATGATACATCATCTATGATGAGTTTTTATTCATTTTTATATAGAATCAATAGATTTAAAATGTTAATACATGCTCCCTTTCAAAATTTCGAACCTTTTTTAATATTAAAATAATTTTTTAGTGTAAAACACTATGTTTAAACTCGTAGACGTTAGAGTCTTTAGACTTAGTTCAATAAAAAGGTGATTTGGGTATATTAATTTACAAACAATTTGACAGAAGTATCCAGTTTGTCAACAAACTTCTATTAAACCACTTTAATAGCCTGTTTATTTCCTTTTCATCCTTCTTGGTAAATTTTGTTTTTGATATCAATGTTTATTTACATATTTTAAAACTAGATTATTTTTATAATATTTAAATGCTGCAGCTTTTTCCTCCAATTGCACTTATGAAAACAAACTAGCTTTCATTAGAAAATGTACTGTTTATAGATGGTTATAACATTTAACTGAAACTCGTGTTCTTTTAAAGCGAGGGTGTCACCTAAAGAAAATTTTTTTCAAAAAAAAATTTTATTAATAAAATAAAAAATATTTCAAATAAATTTTAAATTTTGCTTACTAAATATTTATGAAAATCTGACATAAACAACAATAACGTAATATCATAAAGCAAAGATCTCAAATTTCTATTTATTGTCTGTCTGAAATCTGAAGTTTGGTACCTGCAAGAGATATTTGTTGGTTACACTTTGAAATTCAAACATACTGATAGCTAAGTATTAAACTCTTAGACTGGCATTTCTTTCAAAACATATTGCCAGGTGACATAATCTTAATGAGTCCTAAATTCTAAAAATTTTCCATCTCATCATCATTTTTCATCAGCTCATTGTTTCACTAAATTCTAAAAATTCTGGCACTGGTAACTTATATCATTTTACATTTATTCTCATTACTCATATTATTAAACAAATGAAATTAGCAGTTTCTTCTATACATATTTTAGAATAACAGAAATCTTTAGTTAAATGAAAACATTCTAAAATAAACAGGAAACTTATTGAGAAAGAAACTGATTACATAAAGGAAAAGAAAATTATTCTTCAAAAGTATATTGTTGAAACATTAACAAATAAGGAGATGGAGCAGTGTCTAGTGGAAACACTGATTAGTTTATTGACACAAACTTGGAAAAAAGAGAAGGAAATTGGTATAAAGTAGTTAAAATCTGTAAAATTTTAAAATTAAAAAAAAAAATGTATAAATATTTTGTCATGTGCTGCTGCTGCAAAGCATATATGTTTATAGATTTTAATGTACAATTATCCTAATATCATTTTAGAATTGATATCGTAAATTATATGTGTGTTATTTTAAATTGTAAAATACTCTTATTTTCTAATTTCAATAGTGCTTTTAAAACAGATATATTTTTAATAAACAATTTTTTTAATAATGATCATCTAAATCTATAATGACTAAGGGTATCTAACTACATTAACTTAATTATTTGTAACCCTTTGAAGTTATCTCTGTATTTTAAGGCAAGTTATCATCTTTTCTTAATCCTTACATTATATTAAATATTCAACACGGAAATGTAAAAATTAACATTAAGTTTTGTTCATTATAGTTAATAAGACTTAAAATAATACAAAACAACTTGCAGCTTATTGGAACTTTATATTAAATACTATATATTAACTGCTGCAACTGCAATATGTGGAGAAATCGAAAACACTTACCAACCATGACAAAGTCACCATTATTACACTTTTAAAACCACTCATGACAACTTCTCTCACTTGAGGCAGTCTCATCATATGCTTCTACTAGCAATCGATGTGCCTCAGCTGTAGATTTCTTCAAATTAAAGAAGTAAATCAAAAGTTTACATCTGTTCCGATCAATGGCTCTCTGTTGACACAGCCATGCTGTGCCATACATGACACAGACAAGGTTCTGTTACGGATTTATGCTATTTATGGTTTTACTTCTCCATTCAACCACTACAACTGACATAAACTTCCAGAGTGATCAAGTACATGATGAAACAAGGCATTCTAAGAAAGAATCAGCATAAAGCTAACAGTTAGTAAAACTTAATGCCATTAATATATCGTATTTCCTCATGTATTTTTGCCCCTGTTTTTTTTAAAACCAGGTTTTAAAAACTATTTACTTAATTTTTTTCTTCCTTTAAGTGTTCAGAGAATGAGCTCCCCTAAATTTTAAAATGGATTCATCCATGTAATGATTGTTTTCACCTTATCAACAAAGAAAAATTCTTGCAAACTACTTGCGAAGGTCACATTGAACCTTTCCTTTTTGACTGTTGAGTTTATGCCAACCTAATACAAGAACCTGTCAATCACAGCAAACATGAATTGACTGCAACATGTCTATGACTTAACAAAGTTGGCTGCATGTTCACCTTCTCTAATTCTTTATGTATGATAAGTCCAAGGAGTAGCTGAGCCAACAGTAAGAATGGGTGAGGTTTAAGTTTAGAGAAGTAGAAATGACAATATTTTATTAGATATTGTAATGTTTATGGAATGCAGGTTTCTTTTAAAGATATAATATTATGATAGTTATCTGTAGTTTATCCATGACTATTATTCAGTTGTTACATTCTTAGCATAACTGCATCCTTCAGAAAAAAAAGGTAGTCACATAATTTTTTGCTATTGATTTTTAAAGGATAAAATTAGTAAAAAGGGGGAATACACAAGGAAATATGAGATAAATGTTCCAAGAAATGTTGTAATTAAATGCTAATTACTTGAAAATTTTTATGAAGATGATTTTATGCTGAACTGTATTTTGTAATTATGTTAGATGTTAGATGATGTTTAATAATAATCCTGTCATACTTACAGGTGTATTTTATTCTTAGAAATGGTATTACAAAAGTGCAGTTCAGATATAGATTACTCAATTCTCGTTTGCTGTTGGGTCCTTATTATTATTTTTTTTCACTGATGACTTTTAAAAGTACTTAATTTCCATTTGCAGAAATGTATATTAGTTTAATGACCTTATGGGAAGATGCATAATAATGAATCAAGCAATGAATCTGTCTTTGTAATGAGGAGAATCTGGACAGAATGTTGCTATTGAAATATGAAATAGATAATGTAGTGCATAATTTTTAAGCATAATTTTTCATAAGTAGTAATACACTTTTTTTGTTTTATTGCATATTTTTTATGATTATTTTAATGTCTCTCAATTGAAGAAAAAATTAAATTTGACGGATTTAATTGCTCGCCATAAAAAAATTCATTTAATATTCTTTTTTCTTTTCTTTTCTTCTTTTTTATAATGACAGTCAGCTTTCAGTAAATCAACTGAGGATCTTTTTTTTAATGCTAAGTTGTTCAAAATGAAAGAACTAAATAATGGAAAGTGCTCGGAAGAAAAATCAAAAAAGAAAATTCTCTCAGAAATAGTAAGTATTGATGTAAAACATCAGATTCTGTTTGTGCTTGTTTTAAAAAAAAGTCTTAAGAATTCTCACCAAATCATGTTTGTCATTGTAATTTCATAAGTATTCTTAAAATTGTGTTTTGATGTTATATGGCAATAAAAAATTTAATTAAAATGTTTTCTTGTCATGTTAACATAAATGGTGTTTGTAACTTTTATTTCCACATAATTTATTGTGTATTTATTTGATGTGTTGTTGCTTTAAATTTGTATGTATTTATTGTAATAATGTTGGAGTTCTTTCTGTCAATAAAGCATTTTTATGATTTTTTCATTAACTTTTTTAAAATATATTATTTGATGCCATGTTATTATTTTTGTAATTTAGGTACCTGCTTCAGGATTATGTTGGAGTAAGATTTTTGACACAGTTAATGAACTTACAGAGAAAGAGTTAATAAGAATGGATAAATTAGGAGTTAAGATAAAAAATTATGATGGAGTACCTTTTATGAATGAGGAGCAGAGGTCATCAGATATGGTATGTATTATATATTAGTGAACTTTCTTTTTCTTTTGTTTTTTATATTTTACCAATATTTTTGTAGTTAAAATACTTTTTTTTGAAAATTTAAAATGTACATATATTTTAAATAACAGGGCTATTAGTATCACAATGGGATTTTGTGTCAGTTCACTATAAGCAGTGTAGTCTTTTCAAATTGTTGCTACCAGATATTATCACCCTGTATGATTTTTTAAAGAAATTAAATAATAAAAAAATCTGCTGTGTGTATGTTCCTCAAGTGTAGAAAAAGGATGGTACCCAGAGCCATCAAATTTTAAGTAACATATCCCTCCACCTGAATATGCGCACCTGGAAGGCAGAATTTTGAATTTCGTATTTGTTTTATTATTTTTTATTTTATATTTTGGTTTAACTTTAATAATTCTTGATTAACAAACTCAACAGAGTGAAAGGGAGCATCAGCAACACAGTACAGAATGAAACAATTTTATAGCCAGTGCATGAGACTGTGTATCAGGAATTCTAAAGATGTGCTATTTTTAAATATTTTGTGATTTGCTGTTGAATTGAATTTTATGTGGCGTAACAGCAAAGATCATGACATTTAATAAACTGAGTTGACACATAAAAAGGATGTAATATAAAGACAAAAAAAAAAAAAAAAAGTCTTTTTATTAGTCATCTTACTAAGATTTACACTTCTTTTAAGTCTGTCTTCTCTACATCTTACTAAGATCTTACTTCACTACATTTTACTAAGAAGATTAGTCATCTTACTTATTTCCTTAGTCATCTTACTAAGAAAACTGAATATTGATATGATGAAAATACTGAAAAAATATTAAAATATATGCCAACACTTAACACTGCATTGGGAATTCTAAACATATGCTGCTGTAGCTTTTAAAAATTTTGTGATTTTGTTGTCGAACTATATGTGGCATAAGTGTAAAGAAAAAGATGCTTAATTATAAAGCTAAAAAGGTAAAAAAAAAAAAGAAAAAAGTGTTAGCAGTAATGAGTGCAAGCTCAGCGACAGCATAAAAAATCTTAATAACTTTTTTTGGGCTATAATTAAAATCCAAAACCTTTCAGACTTTTTTCTTTTCTATTAATTTTTTTAAAGTTTATTACAATTTTCTAAAATTCAAGGATCATACTCATATTAAATATGTACATTGTCTAAATATTTGTGTATACATTTATCTAGGGTGATCCAAAAATCACACGCATCAGACTTTCAAAACTTGTAGAACTTCCAAAATATATATTAATGGCAATCTATAACTGGTGAATGATACAGATAGATGAGGTGTTAAATTGTTTAAGGACTTTAATGAATGAAATATAAAAAAAAAAAAGCTGTTTTCATTTTAAGTTATGATGCTAATAGAAAAGCTTTTGCCATTTAAATCATTTTCCTTGCCCTAAAATGCAACTTAAAATGCTTTACTATTTAAGTGAAATTTGAAATCAAATTATCATTTCATTAATTTAAATTTTGAAATCAAATTATCATTTCATTTTGATTTGTATTTTAATTTTGTATCATTATACTGTTAACTGAAATGTATTAGTGTAGTATTAAATGCAATAAAATATATTCACTTTTGAACTTTATATTATAATTTTATTTTTTACCACAAATATGCTGACTCATTCTTTTAAAAAATACTGTAAAATTTGAGCTCATTGAACCATTGAGCACTATTGAACACCATTTGCATAGAAAGTTAAAAATGTGCCGTCATGTTTATACGGATTAATCTAAACTTTTATTATTAGAATGTGCAGGATTCTAGCAGATGCTTTATATTTTTCCCTTAAAACTCTCTGCTCCATTAAACTTTGTTAGCATTTTAAAATACTTAAAATCTGTTATCAACTGCAGCAGATATTAAACTCAGACATTCAAATCGATGCAGACTGTTTAAGTGAAGGTTGTAACATGATGAGTTTAAATGATAATGAGATGGTAATAAATGGCAGTATTGTTCTGACTTTTTAAGCTGCCTTTTATACATGGCACTAACCCAACCACCAATAACATTCTGTTTGACACGTCTTCAGCCTGTCAATGTGTTCAATGTCTTTCTGATTTTGCTGAGTGAAATTACATTGTACTTACGTTATTTCTTATTTTTTAAAAGTTGTGCATTTGTTATTTAATTCTTGCTCTTGCCAATACATTATTTTTGTATTTACATATTATTCTGTGTGATCTAGTGTATTATTTTCTGATCTTACGAATGCTAAAATTTTCTTTCATACAAATTAATAATTGCTTCTTAACTTTACTACATTTTGTCATATGGAAGGTTTCAGAGAAACCCTTGTTTTTATAAAGCAGGGGAAATCATTAGATAGATAGATATACTTATTAATTTCAATACTTTATAATTTTCAGCTTTTCAAATTACAAATGCAGGTAATAAAGCTTATAAACTACTGAATAAGAAAAAGCAGTTGTGTTAAAATAAAATTATGGAACTTTAAAAATTTGAAACAAAAATTTAAAACAAATAGAAGAAAAACAAGAGGAATTTTTAATTTTATTTGAATGACTTAATTACTAATTTTTTTTAATAATTTTGCATTTTGTTCTTCCCCTTATATATATATTTGAATTTAACAAATATTCTCTATTCGTATAAAGCTAATATAAAATAAAAATTGAGTTAAGAAATTTTAATTGAAAAAAAAATTTTTTTTTAATTATTATTGCTGTGAACTTATTTACAATATCATTTAAATTCTAAGAGCATATGTAAATTAAGTGCACGTATCTAAAACCATGAAAAAAAATATTATTCCAAAAAACTAAATTGCATAAGTGGATAACTCTTGAGCAGGCAGGAGACAGATTTATCAAGGGGAAGTTGCCTCCAAACCTAACTCTTCAATTACACAATTCATGTTTCGTCATCCATATAGGCAAGGGTGAAAGTAAAAGTAAAATTCTAAACCAAAAGTAAAACCAAATGTTGTGAATTACTAAAATTTAAACTATTGGAATTTTGAGGAATTAGCAAGTAAAAGACTAGTATTAAAATTAAATGTCAATTAAGAGTAGAAAAGCAAAGTAATTTAGAAACTCTTGTCTGCAGAAAACTTTCCCTATACGAATTATGCATATAAACCTAAAATAAACTATGTGCAATCTATCAAAATATAAAAATAATAATAAAAAGACTAGTAAATAGCAAGTTTAAATTAAACTTACCTAGTACTACATATTTGAATTTCTGAGTTGGACTTTCATTTGCTAAACTAGATGAAGTTGAATAGTTTGTTACTGCTAACTGTATAAATAGAGGGTGCTAATACAATGCAAAGTTGAATGTAAAGCTGCTACCTGTGAGAACTGTTGTAAAACTAATAAACCGTGCAATGTCTCAAAGAACAAGAGGCAGAAAATCAAGATACAATTAAATTGCTTTCTGGAATGGTTTCAAGTTCTACAGCTAAAAAAAAAAATTCTATTTCTAGAGCTTTTTTGCTAACTCACTGAATGCTAGGAGAGAATATTACATCAACTGACAAGAGTCACAAGTTGGAAAAAGAGAAGTCCAACATTATTCATCAGAAACTGTATAGTGAGGAGGAAGAATCATATCATCATGCAGCTGATAATTGAATAAAAGACATTTTACTTGGCATGCTAAATGAATTCAAGGCACTCAAATTCATAATAAAGATGAAACTTGATTGTGTTACAGAACATTGCCAGAACACACACTGATATTTAAAATTTAAACAGCAGTTGTTTTAAGGAATTGTGGAAATGAGATAGTGTTATTAAAATGCAATATGGACCCAACAATTAAGAAAACAGCACTGGTTATTGACAAAAGCAGATTACCTCGAAGTTTGAAATTTACTTCTAACTTAACAAGAAGAACTGATTCATGATAAATAGTTTTTTTTGGGAGGGGGGACAGCAAACTGAAAAATATCTTTACTATTTAGATATCTGAGGTACATACACATTTCTCTCTGGAAAACATTAGCATCTCTTCCTAAAAATACTTCCTACATTCAGTCCTTAATTTTAGGACATTATAAAAGCTTTTAGAAATTATTACAGAAGAGATGTTCATTGAGTCATGAAGGGAATTGAATGTTGTAAAAATGGAAACACTTCAAAGGAGATAAGATTTTCCCCATGTGTAACGTGTATACGATCCAGTTTCCCTTAGAAAGTCCTCCACAAAGGCATCCCTCCCTTTAGGCAGATAGCCCTCGTGTGCTTTGCTGTAATTAAATACTCCAATCAAAGGAGATAAGAAAGCCAATATGTCTTATAGAGGCTGTGCATATTATAGTTAATGCCTGGGGTTAATCTCTTAAAACCAATTAAAAAGTGCTTTTAAAAATATGGCTTTTATATAGAAGACTCAAAGGAGTTGCAAGCTATAACTAATCTTTCAAATATCTATCAGCGAGGAAAGTTCTGTGGATTCATGTTTTGTCATTTCACAGAAATATTGAGACAGCATGTATAAGAATTGGCTATGAAAGTGTTAAAAGAACTCCAGAACTTGACAATGAATGTGACACAGAAAAAAGTGATAACATATGATCATCAATCAAAAAGTACTGCAAATTCTAAGAAAATTCTTAAACTGAAAAGTGCTGATCAAAAAAACTGTCTGCAGTTTTACGAAATTAAAGAATGCAGTTGAAAAACTGTAGTTGAGCATTGTAAAAACAAACACAAATAGGACATTAAGTAGAAAATTTGTTTATAAAATTTCATTAAAAACATAATTACAAAAATATTTTTTATAAAAATTTAAAAATTGAATTTCCAAATTGCCTAAACAGTTAAATTTTAGTATTAATTTTTAATTATTATTTTGGGATTAATTCATGAATTAACTGTTTATTATTATTTTATTTGAGATGTTTAAAACTAATATTACTCCTAACAACATCCAAATCACTGTTTATTAAACACATTCGCTTAATAAATTGAAATAAGTTTCAAATGAAAGTAATTTTAATAAGTGGCTGGTATTGTGTGCAGTGTGTGTGTATCTATACATGAATGCATGTATGCATACATATATGTAATATAAATTCTGTAGATAACTTGAGATTATGAAACAGGTACGCAAACACACAAGATTACATAATTGAGAAGAAAAAAACTTAGCAGACATGGCTGAAGATAACAAGACACAATGTATTTCTTGACATTTAATGCTTGCAGTACATAATCATACATTATTGGGATCAATAAGCATCCTACAGTTTTATATAACTAATTACAACTCGAGACAGTGGATGAAGTGGAGAAATAAGCATACATGCTTAACATAGCTAGAAGAAGGCAGGAAAGTAAATGCACAATTCAGCAAAAGGATATTTATAGAGCTAGTTTTCTTTGTTTAAATTTTAAACTGCTATTGGGTAAAAAGGATCCACAATGCTACTCTTATTTAATAACATAATGCATGTTAGTTTTCAGATGACACAATTTAAATTTATGTATTGTAGTTTTAAGACAGGAAGGCGACATAGCCATATTAAAATGAGGCATTAAAAAGACTATTGCTTAGTTAAAGTTTGTAGTTTTCCTTCATATTTTGTGTCTCGCAGACATACACACACACGTATATACACTGGTTATCATAAATTAAGGAAAAATCACAAAAATAGCGATAACTCCCTCAAAAATAAGCCAAACTGTGTAAAATTTGAATATGTTGCCAAGTAAGAGTAGCTGAGTAAAACTCCATTATGCAAATTAGTGGCACTGCACTTGGAATATGTCATCTTCGAGGGAGCATAAAGTCCATGTTTGAGAGCAAGCCCACATATTTCACAGTGACATGACAGAAATCTGAGAGAGCCAATTCGTAACAAGGATCTCCAGGCATCATTTGCCTGCAGAACTACGACAGAAAGCCATTGGAAGACTAGAGGCAGGACAAAGTCAAACAGAAGTGGCCAGATGGCTAAATGTGAGTTCTTCTGTGGTTCATAGACTTTCGAGGCAATTTCAAATCACAGATTTGGCACCTAGGAGATTTAACCAAGGACAGCCAACTCCTACGACGAGCGCCGATGACCGATATTTGACATTATATGCACTCAGAAATAGAACCGCTACTCCGACTCTTCTTAGATCCTCCCTTGCTGCAGCCTCTGGAAGGTTGGTGTCACGTCACTGTGCATAGAAGGCTTCACAAAGGGGGTCTGTATGCAAGGCGAACAACCATTTGCGTGCTGCTCAAGTCACGCCACAGGAGGGACCGTTTGCAGTGGACACGACAACATGTCCACTGGACGCCTGAGCAATGGAGGGCTATTCTCTTTACGGATGAGTCCAGGTTTAGTCTAGAATGCGATAGTAGGCGTTATTTGATATGGAGAGAACCTGGAACCCGTTATCATCTGTCAAACATCCGTGAAAGAGATGCATACGGAAAAGGCAGTGTCTGTGTTTGGGGTGGCATCTCTTTGGGTGCACGCACAGACCTACATGTTTTTCCAAGGGGAACCGTGAATTTTTATGTTTATAGGGATGACATCCTTGATGCTTACGTGCGCCCATATGCCGGAACAATAGGTGATGCTTTCCTGTTACAGGACAACAATGCAAGACCCCACAGGGCTTGCATCGTATATTATTGTCTTCAACAGGAAACACTTATGTGCATGGAGTGGCCAGCTCGATCCCCGAACTTGAATCCTATCAAGCACATTTGGGATGCTTTAGGGAGATGTCTAGCTGCTCTCAATCTGCCCCCCTCAGACCCTTGTTGCGCTTGCAACTGCTTTGCAAGAGCAATGGCTCTCGCTTCCTATGGAACTGATAGACCGCATAATTGAAAGCATCACTCATCGCTGTATGTGCTGTATTGCTTCTAGAGGCGACCATATTCCATATTGAAGGTACTTTTTCTATAGCAAACTGACACCTTCAATTTCTTCATTTTATACATATGCTAATTTCGATACTACCATAATTGTCTGGTAATTTCTTTTTATGTTTTTTTGATACCTTACTATGTGTTGTATATTGTGGGTAAGTTTCATAAAATTCTACATGTAACTTTTTCAGTAATCTTGATTTTTCCTTAATTTATGATAACCAGTGTGTGTGTGTGTGTGTGTGTGTGTATACATACACACATTTTGCATTATATTTGTTAGCAATGCCCATTTCATAAAAATTTAATAGCTTTTAAACTGTTCTGTAAAAAGCACTAAATTATAAATTTTTAATTCAATTTCATTTTTGTATACTGTTTAATTGTATTTAATTTTGGGAAAGGTTTTTTATAACAATAGCTGATTTAAAAGCAATTTCATATACGAGGGCTATCCAGAAAGTAGATTACGTTTTGGAATAAAAAAATAAACAAAGTATAGGAAACAAAATTTTATTATATACAGATGAAAGCCACACTCAAATACTACTTTTCTACATAGTCACCATACAAATTAAGGCATTTATCGTAGCAATGTACGAGCTTGGAAATTCCTTCGTCGAAAAATTCGGCCGCCTGCGCCTTCAACCACTTCGTTACCTCTTCTTGCAGCTGTGCGTCGTCATCAAAACGCTGCATAGCCAGCCACTTCTTCATTGCTGGGAATAGGTGGAAGTCGCTCGGTGCCAGGTCGGGACTGTACGGCGGATGAGGAAACAACTCCCACTTAAAAGATTCAAGAACTTTACGAGTGACATTTGCCGTGTAGGGCCGGGCGTTGTCGTGAATCAACAAGATCTTAGAGCTCAACATTCCTCTGCGCTTGTTTTGAATTGCTCTTCTGAGTTTTTGGAGAGTTTGGCAATACCTTTGAGAGTTTATTGTAGTGCCTCTTTCCAGGAAGTCCACCAAAATTACATCTTTTCTGTCCCAAAAAACAGTCGCCATCATCTTCCTTGCCGACATTGTTTGCATGCATTTCTTGGGTTTTTGGGGAGAACTTGTGTGTCCCCACTGCATTGATTGCAATTTCGTTTCACAGTTCACATGTTTCACCCATGTTTCGTCACCAGTAACGATGCGATCGAGTAAGAGTCACCATCCTTATGGTAAGCGTCCAAAAAGTTCAACAACGCTGCAGCCATTCGCTGATTTTTGTGGTCCTCTGTCAAGATTTTTGGAATCCATCTTGCACAAAACTTGTGGTAACCAAGCTTTTCGCTGATGATTTCGTGCAACAAACTTCGCGAAATTTGTGGAAAACTCAAAGAAAGTTCCGTTATTGTGAAATTTCGATTTTCACGGACTTTAGCATCGACTTTTTCGAGAAGTTCGGCGGTCACTATGCTGGGTCTCCCACTTCGATCTTCGTCGTGAACATTGGTTCGGCCATTTTGAAATCTTATGACCCACTGACGCACTCCACCTTCAGTGATAATGTTGTCCCCATACACTTCACGAAGCTGCCGATAGATTTCTATCGGTTTACAGTTTTTTGCAGTTAGAAACCTTATTACTCAGCGCACCTCGCAGCTCGCGGGATTTTCAATTAACGCAGACATTTCAAACCGTCACAGTATCTGAACGGAGCACAGCACGAACCTCTCACTAGCACGGCTAGATGCAGACTGAGCTGCGCAACGCTCTGACCCCAAGATGGCCGCGCTAGCCCCGCCCCTAGCGGACACAGACGGAAACGTAATCTACTTCCTGGATGGCCCTCGTATTTGTGCATTTATCTGTTTAGAAACAGGTCTTTTTTTTACATCTTTTACAGCTTTTTTTACATCTCTTTCTAACATCTCTACAGCCGTTTTTTACGTCTTGCAGACATTTTTACACCAAAGCCCCGATGAAGATGTGTCAGGAGATGTAAAATAATTTTTCCTTTATTAATTTTTGCATTTTGCTATTGTGGTAACTTCTGTTTGAATTTTGTTTTTACACAGTATTAGTTCATCTAGGGATTTTGAGAGCATTTGATCATCTCCTAAACATTAAAGCTATGCATACCATTTTGCAAACCTTCATGCATACCGTTTTGTGCTTCTGAAGTAGATTTAATTCTTATTCTTTCTTTTGAAGATTATGATGTCTTCATTTCTTTAATCTTAAAGCCTTGGTTTTTTTTTAAATATCTTTCTTGTTTGCTGCACTTAAAACAATCATTCAGCAGTGTTTCTATCATAGTATTACTCTGATAAATGTCTTTCTTCAGAGAAAATATGCCCTATACTTTTTTTAATGAATTAATTCAAGTTTAATCCAAAAAATTCTTCATTGCTTAGGTATTTTTATTCTGTATCTCCCAATTTGTTGCATAATATAATGCGTCTGATGTGTATTACAATTATTCTATGATACCTAAGTTTCCGTATGTGATAAATGCATGTGTTATTTTGCGTTTGATTTTTTAAAGAATTTTTCAACTTTATTTTTAAATCAAATTTAATATTAATTAATATTTTGTGTATTAATGTTTGTTACTGTTACTAAATTTATAGGAAACTGATGATTCAACTCATTGGACTGATTTATTTCTACGAGCCTTGGAACAAAAAGAAAATGAGATTTCTTCTGATAAATTGAAGCTGTTTAAATCAGTGGAACAGAATTCAGTCAGAGTAAGTGATTTTATTTTATATCCTAATATAAATGCAATTTTAAATTACTATATAAATGTTATGAATGTTTTATGATTAAGTTATAAAATTGGATTTGATGGATAAGCAAATTCGAAACTGATCAGCCAGAGCATTTCATAATTTAAATAAATGCTTATTTTGGTCATCAAAGAAACAGCATCTCAACACACTAAAAGCGACACTCTTATTTTAGGAGATTATAAAAATTCTGTTGTCATTCCCTTCTTTCCATCAATTAGCTATAAAGTTGCACATATTTTGCAGAAATTTAACTTTCGGGTTGTTTATTCTCCCATCAATAAAATTCCGACTTCTATACTCAAGGACCCCATTCCGGATATGAATTCCTGGGGTATTTATAGGATTCCTTGCCAGTGTGGTTTAATTTACATTGGCCAAACTAAGAGAGCTTTAAAATTTCGTGTCAAGGAACATGAGGCATATGTTAGAAAAAAGGAAACACAGAAGTCTTCTGTTGCGCAGCATTGTTGGTCCAAAAATCACACTTTCAATTTTTCTGCTGTCAAAATTATTCAAAAAACATCTTCCATTGGAGAACTGGATTTTCTAGAGGCATTTCACATTCATAAAAATCTTTCTGTTCTAGTTAACGATCCTAATTCCAATTCCAAATTTGCCTTCGACCTTTAAAGAAATTATGTATTAGTTCTGGTTTCACCAACAGATGGTGCCATTTGCTTATTCTTGTCCAGGCTTTCTTATCTTATCTAATCATTTTTTCCTATCTTGTTCATTTGCGGTTTTGCAGCTGAGGATGGTGGTTCGGTAAAACCATCGAAACTAGTCCTGTGGAAATTTTGTAAATATAACGCTGATTTTTGTTGTTTGTCTTGTGAATTATATTTATTTGGCATGTTATTGTGTCTTAATTACAAACATATTGCAAGATTAACAGTTTTGTTGTCCCCACATAGTGATATGTTTTTGCTTAAAAAAAAAAAATGGGAGGGATGCAGAAATTTGGCACTGCACATATCCTTGGCATGTAGTTCTGGACATGAACAAGTGCAACTTAAAGTCTGAATTTAGAATTAAGAATTTTTTCTTATTTATTTCATATTTGGCAAACTAGAACTGAAATTTTGTTTAACTACTCAATGATTTAAAAGCAATGTGCTTGCCACTTGGCAACAGACTCATTGGTTTAAAAGAAATGTGTTGTCACTACTGGAAGTAAAATATTTTTATCTTCCATGTTCCAGTATGCTGCACAGAAACAAGCCAAATTGCTTGTTTCTAAATAGAAACTATAATTTTAATTGTAATTTTTTCAAAATTGTTTTAACTGTATTTGGTATTTTATTTTTCAATTTTTATTGAAAATATTTTGAAGTTTTATTATTTTTTCTTTACCGCGAAGTGAAATTAATTAAATGAAAAATCTACCTCTAATTAAATTCAAAGAAATATGTTTAAATGAAATGCTGCAAAAAATGTGTATAATTTAATGTTCCATACAAGAAAGTCATATGGCATCTGCATCAGTTTTTTTTTTTTTTTTTTCTTCTTTTTTTTTTTTTCCTCTCTTTCCTTTTTCTTCCTGAAAGAGAAGCCAAATGCATGCCAAGACTCAATGATAGCACCATCTGGTACTAAGTGCGTATGTATGTGTGTTTGTGTGCAGACAAGAATAACTGAATACACACACAGAGATATTATTAAAATACTACTGCCAAAATGTGTGGCAGGTGTATAATGGAAAATAACACAGCAAAAATGTTCTAACGTCTGTCTTTAATTAAACAATTTATCTTCACTTGTATTTTTTTGGCTTGTTTCCTGCACAGATTTATCATCTTTTCTGCGACATTATTTCACTGGTTAAAATCGACTATCTCTTCCCACATCATTCACATGTTCACTGTAGACACATCATTCTAGTTTTTTATTAGGCATTGCCCAGAACTTAAAGTAGTTAGTGAAGTTGACTGCTGTACCAATAAACTTGGGCTCAAATCCTGGAGAAGGCATAGATGTTTGTAAGCACATAGTGTCTGTGTGGTAAGAGGGCATTCAAAATACGTAGCGAGTCTCTCGAGAGTTTGGTGGTATGGAAGGAGGAATGGGAAAGCCTTGGACTCCCCAGATGTTCTCCTTCAACATGAGGGCAGAAGCTTAAGAATTAACTGGGTTTAGCAATACTGCAATTACTTGTGGTTCTACAAAGGTGCTGGCCTAGCTTCTACCTGTATCTGTTTTCCATTATCCAGAACCTCCTGCCATTAAGAAATTGTGGTACAGTAGAATTCCAGAAACCCACAAAGCTTGGGACCAGAGGTTGGGCGGATTTCAGGAGTTAAATCATAATATTCAGATTAAAAGTGCAAAATAAATAAGGCATATTAGATACATTTAATTAAATTATTATATACATTATTGCAATAACTTATTATATTCATTAAATTATTATTACATATATAAATTGATTATATTATTCATTGTATTATATATACACAGCTTCGAGGTTTGCTGATTTCGCCTCATTCAAAGATTTCCGGTTTCGGATTCCGGTGTTAGAATCACTGTTGCTGTAAAATTTCAACAGCTTTTCTTTATTTTTTCATATATCATACACAATCGTATCACAATTCCATATGATTCTGCTATAAACTGAGGAGTAGCACCTGTCTCCATCTTTTGGAGAATTTGCACATTTTGCTTTACTGTCAATGCAACGTGTTTACGTTTTTCACCTTTGCAGGCAGTAAAACCATGAGTGCGTTTCTAATCTGTAATTGTATTAAAAAGGCTGAAATTTAAAATAATCTTAACTTATCCACAAAATATTCGGATAAAAAAAAGGCAACACTAAATAATCTGGGGAAATAAAAAAGCTCAGAAAATACAACAGCATGAATCGTGAACTTGAAAGAAGAGTTGAGTCTATCGTCTGCTTTCTTACCTCGATGCAGATTAGAGCGGAAAAAAACTTTTATCATGATGGGAATAATTTGGTATTTCCATTATGACTCATTATTATTCGGTAATTATGACGTCATTATTCGGTAAGTATTTTTCTTCGGTATTTCGTACTCAATGCTGCGGTTTCTGGAACCTATAAACTGAATGTTTATATTTTGAGAGGCAACGCAAATTTCAGAAGTTGGCGGATTTTCGGTATTTGACTGTATTTGTTTTGGAAATTTTTTAGCTATTGTCATATTACCTGTAATCATTATATATATTCAGTGCCATTTTTGTACATCATGAGCAAAGGTCAGCTTGACTTAGCCAAAAGACTTGTACTGGATTCCTCATTTCTCACACTCCTGAAGTTATAATAAATAAGATAAGTTATTTTATAGCAACTCACCTCCCAGACGATGCAGTGGTTAGGGGAGCCTGACTGCGATACCGAAGGGCCCAGGTTTGATTCCCGTAGAAGACATGGATGTAAAATTGTATATCCCTTGGTAGGAAGTAATGTTGGCCACCTATTAATTAAAAGTGCCTCAACAATAAAATGGTCACCACTTCTGGCAATAGGAATGGCCAATGCCATTATAAGCAAGTGTCTGCCATTGGGGGGGGGGAATTATAACAACTCTGTGTATAATGAGACTCATGGTGTAAAAATGTTCTCCAATGAAGAAACTTTTAAAAACTGCCATTTTTTTATGGTAAGATATCAGACATCTTAAAATAAAACTTTGCATAAGGCAGATTAAGAGAAATACAGATGCAATATAACTTTATTTAAAATTATTAAATTCTCTTTTTATATAACATAAATAGCAATCTAATTTCTAAATTGACTAAATAGTAATTGCACTCGATGATACGCAATGTGTAATGAATGGCAACTAATATGTGCACTGTTTTTAATTAACAGTAAAACAATATATATTTCAAAGCGAGTTATTACCTTAAATGTATCAGTATCTACAAGAGGTAACAACGATTTCATTTCAGCAAGCAACGGCTCACTAAGTCTTCTAGGATCTGTAAACTGGCCTGCAATTACACAAAAATTATCATTCACTGATATGCATTACACATACAAAAGAATAGAAAAATGAACGGAACCTTATTTTTAATTTCATTAAGTATTGTGGAAATGGTGAAGAATTTTTTTCATGCTGATTAAATGGCTTCTGCATATAAACAAGGGGAGTAGACTGTTATAAACCAATAGACTTCTTTACCATTTAAGTTTTAGAAACATAAATCAAGATTTGAAGAAATGCATTAGTATGAAATTCACATTTTTTCTAATTATATATATGGGAGAGGTTAAACTAGTTTTGTATGACGTGATTTTCTTTTACAATATTTTGTTTTTAATTTCTGAAAATAATGTGTTTGTGAAGTATTCAATTTAAGAGTATGCTGATTTTTATTTTTTTAGTCTCAGCCATCTTGGGATGAGATATTTTTTGTAATGTCTCAGCAGAATAAAGGAGAAATTCAGGAAAGACTATTTAATCATACTAATGGTGCTACAAAATCTCATCGTGATATTTTATGCAATATACAAAAGATGGTGAGTGCGTATTTAATATTTTCCTTGTATTTTAATATGTTTGTGAGTCTGTCAGAAGTCAAATATCTTGGAGCAAAATTAACTTGGATTTTTTAGAACAAAATTTTAAATTTGTACTCTTACAACATAAACTGAGATTTGTTTTAGCAGCATTTCATTATACATGCAATGTTAAATCTCCTTAAACTTTGAAATGGATAAAACAGCTTCTATGGTGCAAAAGTCTTGTATTGCCTAAATTCATTAGTCATTCTCCTACAATGGCTGTCACACATTATTCTGCATTTCTATTTGCTCAATAAATGGATTTTTCAGTTTTAATCATTTTTAGTCTTTAATTGATTATGAGTCGTATCATTATGATAAAAGTATTTTTCTAGTTATAGGGATTTTTATCTACAGATTATGCAATCTGTAACCACAATTATGTATTTCTTGATAACACTATATTTTAAAACTAGGATTTGAAATGAAAATTCTTCATAGGTATCAAGTAACTTTTTTTCTTGGTATGATGTACTTCTTGTTGTGGTAAAAGAAGTTTTAAAAGAGATTGAGGAAGAATCATTATTGAAGAAGTCGGAAGGTAATCCATCAAAAATGAAATGTAATTCTACTCTTTACCATCTTGAAAAAAGTGTAGAAAAAGCAATAAAGAATGAACATGCTGCTGCAGCTAAAAATGAACCATGCTTTCTGAAGGTAACTGAATGTTTTTAATTGCACATTGATTTATTCATTATATATTTTTTATATGATATAGTATGCAACAAGATTTTTAGGAGAGCTATATTTGAGTCTTCCTTAAATCGTGTAATTGGATAGAGGAATTATGAAAATTTAAAAAATAGCAATGTTTGGGAAGCAATTAAAATATGTATATTTATTAATAAGAGAATACCAGGTAATAATCTTCTGTAGTTTTTTTTTTTTTTTTTTTTTTTTTTTTTTGGGAAATTAGGAATTCTATGTTGCTTTAAAGAAAAAAATGGAGGTATTAGTATACATTGCCTTTTTCGAAAATTTGCTGAAAACTTTGATATAATTTTGATTCTTTTCTTCAACTAAATGTTTTCATAAGCTTAGCTTTTTATGTTCTAGCACTTAAAGCAGGCATCTGCAACACATGGCCATGGGCTGTATGTGGCCCATGTGCTGATTTTATATGGCCTGCGCTGACTTTTTCAGAATCTTTGAATCTGTCACATTAGCTGTTTAATTGATTTAATTGTAAGCAACAAATGCTGTTAGTTGTAATGAATAAACTTGCAAAAATTGTTATTTTCAGAATTTTTTTACCTATTTTTAAAACTTTTTATTCTTATTGTCATCCCCCCCATGGGAATTTCAGTTTAGTTTGATTAATTCTATTTGCAAAGAAATTAGTGATAATTCAAAATCATTAAATAGAGAAGAGAAAATTCACAAGTTTGCTTTTTGGTTTTTAAAAATCACTGAACCTAGTTTTAAATTCTTGACTCAAAGATTTCAACTCATCTACAAATGAATTGCAATCAAAATCATTTCTGTGGTTGGCAAGTGCAGGAAAATAGTAAGCATCATGCCACCGACCACTGGCAAACAGTCATTTGCCAGTTTTCATGCTATACCAATTTCCATTTCACTTTCATATATTTGTGAATTTGTGATCAAACACTAATTATAATGGCTTCATTAAGTAGAAACTACAAGGCACACATTTTAAGAGAACATTTACAAAGGTCAAATAAGAACAGATGAGTTGCAAAATTTTAAAAACAATATATCTGTACAACCGATACTATTCCATCAACATAATGATATAGCTGACAACACTGTTTGTGCAAGCTTTATTATTGAAGAAATTTTGAAGCACTCAAAACCGTATTCCAAAGGCGAGTTTGAAAGAAATGCCTTACTTCTGTCACAGAAATAGTGTGCCCTGGGGAAAGCAATTGAATCAAACACAGCAAAACTCTATCAATGATTGGATCAAACACAGCAGTTGGTGCCCAAATAAAATTAGAATTATCTGATAACAAAACCACCGAGGATTTGTGTGCAAAATCAACTAAATTTGTACATGTGATGGGCATGATAACTTCTGCATAAATTTAGTTAAGCTGAGATCACTAAATTACCATCAGTTTCAAGAATTTATAATTGACATTCATTCTGAGATTAAGATCTCGCATTTTACTGTGAAGTGCATTGGCTAAGTAAGGGGCAAATGTTGAAGCATCTTTATGATTTGGAAGATAAAGTATCTGCTTTCAATGGATTTGAAAAGAAAATATATTTGGAAGCTAGAAAGCAAACCCTGGCTGTGTAATCTTCCACTTCTTTTTAGTGTTACAACATATCTCGGTGAACTTGGTGCTGTGTACAAACTCAGGAACAGTAGATTCATAAGTTTTACGGACATAACAAATCATTTCAGAATAAGCTTCAACACTGGGATAATTAATTAAAGGAAGATGATGCTTACAATTTTCCTGCACTTGCGAACCACAGAAATGATTTTGATTGCAATTCATTTGTAGATGAGTTGAAATCTTTGGGTCAAGCATTTAAAATAGGTTCAGGCAAACCAAAAGGCAAACTTGTGAATTTTCTCTTCTCTGTTTAATGATTTCGGATTATCACTAATTTCTTTGCAAATAGAATTAATCAAACTACAAGAGACCCTTATTCTGAGGACAAAAATCAAGCATATATTACACTAAGTAACATTTATAAAAACTATTTCCCATGTGACAAGTTTCCAAATCTGGCTGTTTTTGCCCAGAAAGATATGATCCTATTTGGAAGCATTTATAAATGTTAACAATATTTTTCAAAGATAAAGTTTGGAAAATCTGAGACGAACTGGCAAATTACTGGTGGGCACCTGGGAAACATGCTAGTTTCAACATCCGCATATATCCCTCAGTATCGACAATCTCGTGTTAACCATGAAGTCGCAATCATTCCATTAAAAAGCTCTGTTTTATTAATATTATTTAAGAAAATTATCTTATTTTGTATTTTATATTGTCGTAGAATTTTATGGTGTGTGTGTGGGGGGGGGTTGAAGTAGTAGAGAGGTTGAGCTAATTAAGATGTTTTTATTTTTTACATTTTCATTTAAATAACTTTCATAATATTTTCATAATTCATGCAATCTGGAGTAGTTTAGGATTTATTTATAATTTCATAGAAATAAATCCTAAAGTACTCAGGTCCGTGTAATGTTTCTAATTCCTAATCTGGCCCATACTTTTGTAAAGTTGCACGTACCTGATTTAAATCACATCATCTTAACAAGTTCTTACTATTAATTAGTGTCAACAAAGGCATGTGATTCATTCAGTATTTTCAATAATTACTGTTTTTTAATGTGTATGTGTATATATGTGCATGTGTTTAAACTGTATTATTAGGATTAGAAAATTTCTTGCCAGATTAGTTATCGCTTTAGCTACTGTTTTTAAATTTTCTTTTAATGTAAAACATGCTTTTAAAAAACTATAAATGCTTTTGAAATATAAACATCCTTATTAAAAAAAATAATAATAATTCTTTTTTAGGGTTTTAAAGTAAAGTCTTGGATTGATCTGCTTCCAAGTCAGGATGGAGCTAAAAAATTATTAATGGAAGAAACTTGGAATAGAAGGAAGGAAGACCAACTTTTAGATTCTGTAGTTAATGAAAGGAAAAAGGTGAAATTTGAAAAAGTTTATTAAAATATACAGTAATTTATTTTTAATGTGATTTTTATAACATGTATTTTTTAAAATTCAAGCAAAATTACAATAAATGCAAGATATATGCATGGAAAAGTTTTATTAGCATATTATTTTAGAAATGCTGTATAAAGAAGTATTGGTAAGTAACATTCTTAATTTTATGTAATTAGAAATGACATTTTAGGGCATTTATAAGAGAATTGAATAAGGACATATTACTTTAGTTCAAGTAATGCTGAAAACATGTACAAGGCTAGAATGATCAAATCATAGCTTTACCCTCTCAATCTTCAAGTTATTTGTTGGTCTGACTACTTATGAAAGTTTTTTTTTTTTTTTTCAATGTTCTTATATTTATATCTCTGAGGTGCTGTCCCTCAAAACAGGGGTGGGAATTAGAAGTCCAAACTTCTTGAGGCTCTGGCAACCATTCTTCCATTAAATACATGGACAAGACAACAACTTATCGAACTTGGCTTTTTTAATCAACAGCAATTATATTCAAAGTGTAGAAGGAAGCTCAGTATATTGTATCTTTGTCACAGACATTTTCTATGTTTAATATATTATAAAATGAATACTTAAAATTTTGAAATTCCATTCACCATATCAAAAGTTGAACTTTTATTTAAAATTAAACTGAATATTATTACTCTTTGAATATTTGTTTAAAAGCTGTTTAAATCACATTTACTTAATAAAAGCAAAATAGTATTTTTTTTTTTTTTTTTTCCAATTTTGAGATGCACATCTTAATTTCAATGCAATCAACAGAAGGGAAAAAAATCTTTGACATAAATCAGATAAAAGTAATTGAAATAAAATGCTGAAATACAGCTGCCAAATAATTATTAGTAATTATCTTAATATTAAGAACCATAATATGTTTATTTAAATTATAATCTAAAGAAATTAATTACTTCAGAATGATTAGTAGTAATAGGAGAAAATCTGCAATCCTAAGACTTCATTGATTGTAAAACACACACCAATTTTGGTGATGCTTATTATATGGGAATAAAAGGTACACTTTAAAAAAATGATATATAGATTTATAATAATGAATGGTTTAATGAATTGCAAAAATAAATACATTATCCACCCTTTTGATATTTCTGTTTTTGATATGTTACATAAACAATTAATTAAATCTTATGAAACTTTCCATATTTAATATTTTAAGATTGTAATTGTAATAACTATTATACAAAAAATTCAAATTAAATTTTGTAGAAGGTTTATAAAAGTTATTTCATTGGGATATGTAATGACTGTTAATTATTATTTTTAAACAATGTAGCTCATATTATCTCTAATTTGTAAATCTCTTAATTTTTATCATTTAATTCAATCTATTTTGAAGTTTACACTGTAAATCTAAGTTGTAATCACTAGTAATGCAGAGTTAAAGATATAAAGTCTTTGGAAGCAAAAAAGACAAACAACAAAATTTGATTTTACAATTTTAAATGAAATTTGTCAAGTATCTTGAAGATCTGAGAACAGTCAAACCTCACTTAATGTGTACCTTCCATAACAAGTGATTTGCATACCGAGCAAAACAAAATGTAAAAAAAAAAAAAGGCTTCCTTAACAAGTTTTACAGAGTAAATCATGTGGAGACATTGGGATATCACATGCAAGATCTCAGTTATCAGTCTGTATTTAACACTTATTCAGTTAGCATCTTACTGTTGCCTATGAAAATTGTATTTAGACACATTCTTCTTCTTGAGCTACACAGCTGGCTACAGACCAAGGTTGCCTCTTCGAGTTTTCTCCATCTGATTCTATTTGGCACCACAGCTTCCCATTGTTTTACTCCTATAGTTTCAAATTCTTTTCCACAGTATCTAGTTATCTAGTGTCTGATCTTCCTTCTCGTCACTTCCACTCTATTTTTGAAAAGGTTATCTTTTTAGAAGGCAATGCATCATCATATCTATAAATACATGGCCTAGCCATTTAATACAAGATGCCTTTACAGTTTTGACAATACCAGGTTCATTATATTTCCTATAGATTTCATGGTTATATAATGTTCTCCAGAGTTTATTTTGCTTCACCTGTCCAAAAAATTTCCTCAGAATTTTTCTTTCAATATCAGTAGCAGATCTTCCTCTGTCTTGTTACGTGTCCAGCATTCTTTTCCATACAGGGCCACAGGTCTTATCACTTATATAAACTTACTTTGGTTTTTATTCTTATTAAACTGTATTAAAGTTGGCTTCTAAGTCCATAAAAACATCTGTTAGCTATAGATATCCTGTTTTAATTTCAATTATAATGCCATTGCAGCTTGAAATCATTGTACAGAGGTATTTGAACTGTTAAACAGTCTCAAAAGTATAATTTTTTATCTTTAAAAGGGGTAGGTCCATGATTTTACCTGTTACCATCATAAATTTTGTTTCATCCTCATTGATTGTTAGACCCATCTTCCCTGCTGTATATTCTAGCAAGAGAAATGCCTCAACAACAGTGTGTTTAGATCATCCAGTGATATCAGTGTCATTGGCAAAACCTAGCAAGTGAATTGTTCTTTGTAAAGTAGTTCCTCTTGTGTGTAACTGAGAGTCTGGCTTGGGTTTTTTTCTGTACCAAGTTAAACAGCAGACAAGAAAGCGAGTTTCCATATTGCAGACCTTTCTCAGTATAAAAAGGCTGTGAGAAAAAAGATAAAGGTTTAATTCTGCATTTCAAACTCCTAAGTGCAATCTTTGCAAGGCTGATCAGTTTCCTTGAGTTGTTAAATTCCAGCACAGCTTCAAGTAATCTTTCTCTATTTAAACTGTGACACGCAGCTTTAAAATCAGTAAACAGGTGATAGGTGTCAATGTTATATTCCTTTGTTTGTTTCAAAATTTGTCTGATAAAGTGTATCTGATCAATCATTGTTTTTCCTTTCTGGAAACCACACTGGTAGTTCCCAATAATTTTAGAAATATATCTCTGCAATCGTTTATAAAGTATGGAGGAGAAGATTTTATAAACTTTATTCAATATACAGTCAAAAGTCGTTAATTCGGACACCCATAATCCGGAAGGATCTATAATCCGGACCTCAAAGCTAAAAACTGCGCATGCACCGCGTTGACATATGCGCATAGGCATTTACGCGTGCACGTAAGACCTTTTACGACTGTGCATGTGTGCAAGCACAGAATACGTATTCGCTTGCGCGTTTTATGTATAACGGACGGTATAAGCTAAAATTATCTACTTATCTATTTCGGTTAATGTTGATGATTGTGTTGTTCGTTAATCTTCGAATTGGATCCGGCTTATTATTTTTTGCAGACTGTAAGAGCAATTTTATAAAAGTAAACTTGAACTTTTGATTATGTCAAATAGAATTTCTGATTCTGGAGCTCCCAAAGGATCGTACAAAACGAAAGTATGTTTCAACGTCCATCAAACAAAAAGTGGAATTCCTGCAAAAAATGGATAAAGACATGAAGAATATGACAGGGAGGTTAGTGAAAACAAAAAAATTTCGATTGAAAAGTTAGTCGGTATTCTCGGCACAGCAATTAACAGGACTTGAACAGCGAAACTTTGTAACTGAACAAGAAATTATGTCTGTTTATAGAATTAAAGAGAAAGTATTATCACATAAAACGAAGCAACTTAAACAACTTGCATTGAAAGAAATGTTTAATAAAGTAAACAAATAAATATTAAGCTTTTTTTTTTTTTTTTTTTTTGTAAATTTTGATACCATTTAGATTATAATTGTTCTTTATTTCATAAATTACGGTTTCATATTTTTAATTTTAGAATTTCTGCATGCCATCTTACGAGATTTAAACTGATGATCTATAATCCGGAAAAATCGATAATCCGGAATCGCCGAAGTCCCGACGAGTCAGGATTAACGACTTTTGACTGTAGTAATTTCTCTGTAATTGCAACATTCCAATTATATATATACATACATACATATGACAAAAAGAATCCTTCTTCCCACTCAGTAGGCAACATAGTTCCTGTGTCCATATGTCATGAACAATGCAATAGATTGCTTTAGTTACTTTAATTTCATTTAAATTTAATAGGCCAGCTTTGATACCATCTGGTCCAGCTGATTTATTAATGTTTAGCTTTTTGATTGCACGTTTAACATCATAGAAGGTTGGAGGACTGAGTTCCATCCCTTCATCCTCGTCTTCACAAGTGAAAGTTAAATAGTATGTTATGTGTAGTAGTCTCCTCTTCATTATCTCTACCTGCAAGCACATTTTTGCAATGTTCTTGCCATCTTCTTCCATATCTCTGGCAATTTCTCCATTTTCTTTTACTGGCTGTAGTTCTCACATTAAATTGGGCTCTTGCGTTAAACCACTGGTTACATTTCTTCACAGAATATTCAAGTATTGTTTTCTCAGCAGTTTCAAGTATGATTTGTTTAAGACTATGACACCATTCTCTTTTGGCAAGCTTTCCTCATCAGCTGATGTTTTTTCACATTATTCTTTTTTGTACTTCCTACATATTTAAGATTTTTTTATTATTTAGTTGTTCAATGTCAAGCCCTCAGATCTATGAGAACATAGCCAATTTGTTTTCGAGTTCTGCCATCAGGAGATCACCAAGTGGCTTTGTGTATATCTTTATTGTTGTTGTGTGTCCAATCAACTTATTATAGTCTTAATCCATTATTACTCGCCTCTTTATGTACATTTGTGAAAATGTATAACTACCTAAGCCAAGTAAGTATAAGGATTATCATTGTGTTTATGCATAAAGTTTTGTGTTTTTTAAGATTGCATGGAAACTATTGTCATCTCAAGCATATATTTGCAAGAATGTTCAAACTGTGTGTAAGATAATTGAAATATATTAATAGAATTAGATATTCAGGAAATGCTAATGCTAGTAATATCTGTATACTTACAAACATACATAATCTATGCTTGTGATGTTTTATTTTATGTAGGATCACAAGGATAGTATGTGGAAAGATGTTTTTCCATTAGCTGTTGAAGTATGGAAGAAACAAATTGGGCATTACTTAAATGTAGAAGAGGTATCATGCATCAAAAGTGAAGAAAATGAAGTATGTACCTGAATGAAAGCAATTATATTTTTTCCTAGTGCTTAATTATTACCTTATCAACCATTAAACCTTCAATAATCAGTGTGATTTAGTGTCAACTATAAATAAGTGTAACATAACAACACTCATAACATCTCGTTTTTGCTTAATGTAACCTCGATTGATTCTCAACAAGCCACTTTTTTGTTCTTATGAATAAGGATACAAATTAATTACAACTGTTATTATTTTTCCCTCTTACATTTTGAAAAAAAATTAAAATTTAGAGCATTCCTTCTATAGAACAGCAAACAGTGGATTATTTTCAAAGTTATGTAATCCTGCCATCAAAAAATGTGTGTATTAATAGGTATGATATAGTCAGCTGGGTATGATTGACAAAACAGTAACAGTTTTCTAGACCGAGCTTTTGGCAAAATCAGAGAGCCTAACAAAATAGTAGAAATCAGCAAAAATGCAATTAAATTTTTGACAGTAATTAAACTTTAGCCACGGCTAAAAATACCTGATTCTATACACAGTGAACTATTTTCTGTTCCTGTTATGCTTATAAACTCTATTCAACCATGCCATGTTGTGCTTAATTTGCATAATCCTTACTTGTACATCATCTTGAAATTTTATGGATTTGAATTTCAAGTTGTAAGCAGAACTCTTCAAATCAAAAACTAAGAAAAGAAAAAGATACGAACATTACTTTTGCAATGCTTGCTGTTAAGAAAATAATTTTATTTCAGCTGATTGTTGTGTAGCAACAGCCCCCTGGGGGGATCGACATAGAGAACTCTGCGAAGCTACTGGTTAGGATCTGTACCTAGGCAGTCTTAGCCATAGGGTATACAAATTATGAACCTAGGGATTCTAAAGGCCCTGGAACGATCTCTTATTGGTTGGCCCATGAGTCTGGCATGTCCTAGAGTTCAAGGTTCTAGTAGCCCGGGATGGCATGCCAGATTCCGCCTGGTTGTGGCACTCCAGGTATTTCTGGGTGGTATCCTTGGGCAATGGGCAGCCTGTGTGGCTGCAAATCAATGTGCATTGGTGCCAATCTCTCCAAGGTTCAAGGACAGGGGTTGAACCCCTGGGGCTGGTTTGTCGGGTGGTTTTTGACTCATAATGCTCTACTTTGAGATGGGAGAAGGAATGCATGATAAGGTAAGCTTGTTTCAGTTGGACAACAGCAATAATTTTTAGTTTTCTTGCTTGGCTAGCAACATTTATGAACAATGTGCTAAAGCAATACAATTCTCCCAATAACAGAACAAATTATTGAAACAATACTACTTTCACAATCCACATAAAGTAACTCTATTTTGATATAATTATATATTTATATTTGTTATTTATTTATTTTTTATTATTTATCTTAGCCTCCCATCCACAGTACCCATTTAATAGTGCATGTGGAATTCCCACATTTCTTAAATGTGCTATACTAGTAAAAGAGGTTGGTGACCACTGCTTTAGAGAATTAAACAATTAGTGCCAAAGAATCTCGACTCTCCACATTTGATTATGAAAAAGTATCACATGCACAAGTATAAAAGATACAAGAAAAAAAGGTCTAAAGGTCCAGATTTTGGATCATTCTGGATATTGGACTTTGTAATGTATCTTACTTTAATATGTTTACTTCTTCTGTTAATAATACCATTCTTAATGCATTTAATTGCACTTTGGCTATCAAGAGTTCTCTAATATGGTCTGTGGCTTCTAATGCAGTTTAAGATTAATGGCTGAAGTAATTGTTTAAAATTAGATTCTCTATGAATGTATGAATATTTAATTATGTATACCAATGTAATGTTTGTAGTCAATAAAGTGGCTGCTATTTGTTACCTTGTACTTCAGTTCACAGGGTCTCCTCATATAGAACTACACATCCAGTGGGACCTTCTACATGTTTCTCATTCACCTGCATAATCTGAAATACAGAGAAACTAATAACTTTTCTGTTGAAGGTAGAATTATTTTCCAAACATGTGTAATGAAAACCTACATTTACACTACTTTTCAAGTATTTAGTAATTCTTTATACATTTTCAATATCTTTTACTCTTGAATTTTCTATCTGCCAACTTTCAAGACTTACAGCAAGTGGGTGAGTGTTATTAGGCAGATATAAAAGATTCCCACTAAACTAAAATTCTAACATTTTAACCTTCCATGCATTACAGGTTTGGCTCTGAAATCCTAAAATTCCCTAAAATGCCATAAATTATTTTATTCAATTTTAGGTTTTCCTAAAATAAAAGTCATAAATAAAAGGGTCATAAATAAGTGATATTTTAGGGATAATAATTCCTCAATGACCCTCTCAAAACTTTATACCTTTACTCCTTTTCTTCCATTATACATCTAACCTAAAATGGGATTCATTGGGAGGGGTCAGAAATTTTCATTTCTAACATATTGTAAAGCCATCCTTTTATGTGGAATTTTAAATCCATAACCCTTGAAAGATTAAATCACTAGTATGTTCAAACTCCAAACTTTCCCATGCATACATCCTTCATGGTTATCAAATGCTGTATATAACCATGCTTGAAATTAGCCCTGTTTGTCCATGCCTTCTTTATTCCTGGAAAAAGTTTCCAATCTAGTTTCTTCATAGTAATTATATTACATGTATTGTCTGAAGTGTCTGACACACCTATCTAATACCAAATGATCTATTAAATAGAATCTCAGTTTTACTTAAAATCTAAAATTATGTTTTTTGGTAAACATTTATTACATTTACAAACAAACAAAAAGAAACATTTATTAGAAATTTTATTTTCCCCATATAATTGAAGTTTTTTCTTCAGTTTAAATTATAATCAAGTTGTAGTATTTTTTAAATAAGTTATTTTTGCCAGATATGAACATTTTTAATATGTTTAGTATTGCATCCTGCTGAATTCTCTCTTCCATATATTTCTCTAATATTCCCACTAGATTATCCTACTTTAATATTTTTTATTTCATTGGCATTTATAAATAGTTTTTCATTTCTTAATTAATATTTGGTTTTTGTTCAAGATGTTTTCTTTCCATTGTGTATAGATTTCATTCTTTGAAAATAATGACATTGTGAATTTCCAAAATAAAATGTTGATTGAAAGAAACAAAAAGAATATGTTTGAAAAAGAGTTAAATGCTCAAACTAAGAGACTGATGCAAGAAAGATTTGATTTTTATGACCCTTCAATTGAAAGGTTAAGCCAAGTAAGTTTTCTGTTTTCAGATATATAGAATAACATGACTGAAATGTAAATTTATTTTCATTACATATAAAAAGTTAATTCTTTTTTCTGGATTTTGCTATTAAGAAATTTGTTATTTCTTCTAATGTAATGTAAAGTTAATAGTTGAAGTACTTTTATTTAAATTAGACTATGTGTACATTTATAAGTATCTAATAATTAGACTATCTATGCATGTATGAGTATATAAGTATGATGTATCCATATAAAAAATTCAATCATTACTTATTATTGTGAAAACAATTCTCTTGAAACATTTATTCAAAGCTTCTAACATGTAACTTTTTGTTTCATTTTGGTGAAGTTATTTTTCCTCACGTATGTATTAGTCAATATAAAGTATTTTTCTCTGATTTCTTAATTTTAAGTATCTATTCATTTATATTGAAGAAGATTTTGTATTATACTTAATGACATTAAATTAATCTTAGGATTCTGTACTGTCCATTGTAAAGCAAGATTCCTCAAATCAGAAGAATGTGTGGTCTCATAATAAGCAGCTAATGCAACAGACTAAGAATAGGAATTTATATGGAAGTGCCAAGGATTTAGATCCACAGGTTAACCTGTTATATTTTTTCTTAAATATTGTTTGCCTTTTTAAAATGTGATAGATATTAAAACTCTTAAAATTAAAAAAAAAAAAAAGTTCATGTTGCATTTTATATCTCATTTTTTAGTTGCCTCAAGGAATGAATTTCTTTGGTTATATGTGTACAATCACACCAAAAATCATAATTCATTAGTCTGGTATGTTAGAAATATGCATGTTAGATGAGTAAAAAAAGAAAAGAAACATGTATCTTTAATGTAAACAAATTATTTTGTGTAATAACAAATATAATTACTTAGTATAACAATGAATAAAATTTAAATTGGCAGGAATTTCCCATTAAATGAAAACGTCTGTTTGAAGTGTTAATATTTGCTTTGAATATCACTCGTCTCTAATTAAAGCATGAAGAACATAAAATTGTTTGAAACTCAAAATGCTGCTTTTTGATACTGCATAAAAATCACACTAAAAGAATACTTCTCATGCTTGTTTAAGATTTGGTATAGTTTCTTGTCGTAAATCTTTCATGTTACACAAGGATACTTAGGACCAAACATGCAAGAAAGAGAAAAGAAGAATATGTACATTAGAATGCAGAAAAAGTTTATGGAGAGAAATAGAGGTCTTTAGTTATTTTAAAAGTATGTTTAAAAGCTTATATGTTTTATTTTTTAAATATTTAAAAAAATGTAAACACTTAGAGCATTTATAATAACAAAGCAGAAAAAAATTATTAATTTTAAAAGGGTGCGTGGTCACTTGGCTCCTGAGAGTGCTTGGTGCTTGGTCACTTGGCTCGGTGAAAATATTGTGCATATTCTATTTTAAGTAAACCTTTTCTGTGTATGAATTATCTTTTTGGTATCAGTTCTATATGTGAATAAAATATTTTTTAATTAAATTTTATTAACATTTTTAATTAAGAAAATAAATATAAAACTCCTCATGCTCTACAAAGTATTCTACGAGGATTACAAATGTAAGTAAATAGCTCTTAATACAAGGAGATACAATTCAACAATAAAAACATAATATTTAGTTCTGGACAGAGCAAAGTAAAATATAAAATACAAAACCTATTATAATAAAAATACTAAAATATACCATGAATAATTAAACTATGTTAATACTCCTATGAAAGGAAATAAACCAACTTCAAAGTACTCAATAATAATAAAAATAATACTAATACAAAGGAAAAATGATGCACCAACAATACATCAATTTATAATGTAACCATATATAGACAATACACAAAATAATAGAATGACACATAAAAGATTAAAATCCAATTATATAAATAATAATAGTTAAAAGTTCAAACAATGAATAAAGTCGCATAAGACTGCAAAGGTTTCAGAGCTCCTAACAAGATCATAGAAAACAGGAGGCCAGGAAATAAAGATCTGGTCCTAAACTCACTTTAAATGCACTTCTGGCACTCACATGCAACCTACAATGCAATAAAACATGTTTCACATTTTCCACAACATTGCTGCAAGCACAGAGTCCACTGGTAACAATATTGAAATGAAGTAAGCAAATTGCAATGACCGGTTAAAATCTAAGTAAGTTTATAATCCAGTTGAAAATATGTGTTGAAAACTTAAGTCATTGAAGAACACTTGAGAAAAATCTCTGTTCTCTGGCAAGATATTCAGCATTCTAATCAACCACAGATTTCTCTTAAGTCACCTGCTTCCAATAAGACTTGGGAGCCCACAATATTAAATCAATATCACGATAAGCCACTTGCTTAGCTAAATGATCAGCCATCTCATTACCGAGATCGCCGCTGTGGTCTCAAACACAAGTAAAATGAATATCTGCAGTATGCCCAGTTACGTGTAATATAGAGTGAATTTCCACCTCAAGTTTTTCTCTCGATAGTGTATCATGTAGAAGAGTGGCAGAAGAAAATGAATCTATGCAAATACGATATTTGAACATTTCATTCTTGCAACAAGGGTTTTGTATCCATTTAATGGCAAGATTTAAGCTCAGAAGCTCGGCTTGAAAAACAGAACATACATCTGGTATCCTATATTGAACAGCTATATTCTCCCTATCATCTTCATAAATAACAAATGCAAGGCCAACCTTTCCATTTGACATTTGACTTACTACCATCTGTGAAACATGTAATTCTATATTCTCGGAAAACATTATTATCATAAGTAACAATTGTCATAGGGTTTCTGTATTAATGGGTTTGTAGGCCCCATTTGTACTTTCTGCGCATGTATTTTCATCATGATGGTATAAGGTAAATTTCCAATGAAAGATTAAACAATTTTTAGTTTTCATTAGAAAGTGGTCAAGTGAAATAATAACTAAAAATTTGTCAAGATTGGAAAAGGTGTGTGATAAGTAAAATTCTCTTAGATTTATGTATTTCAAAAGTTGAACTTTATTAAAACAGAGAGTTTAGGAAGCATATCCTTTCATGTTGCATATCATTTTGGGTTTTATGCAAATTCAAAAGCTGTTTTCTATTATTTTGCTCTTTTTAGAAGTAATATTCTGCTGTTTAAAAGAAAAAAAAAATGGATATATTTAAGTGAAAATAGGTTAGCATAAAAAATCTGCCCATTTAAAGTGTCTGTAGGCAAAATGCAAATTATATGTTAATGAAAATAAACATAATTTCTATTTTGAATTTTATTAAGTTATATTATTTTATAAATAATATTCTTAAAAATTTTCATATAGTTACAATTTTGTAGAAACTTGGATTAAGATCATCAGTTTAAATTTAGTAAGATGGCATGTAGAAATAATAAAATTAAAGATATGAAATAGTGGTTTATGAAATAATGAAGCATTTGTGATTTTAAGGAAATCAAAATTAACAAAAAGGGAGGGGGAAGAGGAAACAAAAAAAGGGGAAAAACTGTATATTAATTTGTTTACTTTATTAAATGTTTCTTTCGATGTAAGTTGTTAATTTTTTTCAAAAGTACACTGGTAAAATAACAATTTGTTAAATTCTGTTTAAAATAAAGTGGAACAGAGAGAAATTCAAGTAAAAAGAAACTTGTAAAATGGAATGATGCTTGCACTAGGCATTATAACACTTTTTATCTTACATAAAATATTTCTAATATTTAAATTCATGTATATCTGCAAAAGTTATTCTAATTTTTTGGTATTATGTCTAAAAAATATTTAAGATTGTATATAAATTTGAGTAGAATCCTAAACAAAAATTCTTTGTGACTGTAATGTATTTATTATACTTTATAAATGAAAAGTTTATTTTGTTCTTATTTGAATATTTGTACTTTTAATCTAACTAGGGAGCACAGGGTGTTTGTCTCACCAATTTCATCCCGAATTCTATCTAATTATAAAGGATATGTATATGAATGTATTCATTAAGAGAAAATGCATAGACCTTGAAAATAAATGAGGAAATTGAGGCTAAGATTTGAAGAAACTCTCATATTTTTTTAGTTCCTCTCTCATCGCGAGTGCTGCTAGCCTGAAGTTTTGTGTGAATCCATGCAAATTCCTAATATCGAATTCTGCTGTCATTGGAGCTTTTTTACTGTGTTGTTAATTCTGTTAATGTTTATCTTGAAACAAAATTTGTTCATGGGAAAGTATTTTTTAGAGAAAAATAAAAACTACTAAAGTTTTATACAAAAAGCAAATTTACATCCTCCCAAATGGTTGAATTTTTCACACAAATACAGCAAGTTTGTCAACTAAGAAGGGATAAATGGTCTTTCTAGTAATTGACAAAAATCTGAAATTATGCCTATCCTGTAGAATGATAAAAATGCTAATACAGTGTCATGTTATTAACCTAGCTCTCCCACTAATGTTTATATAAATTAGCAGAACAACAGACTGTTAACAGACTTCTTTTTTATCTGGAGAGATATGACTGTATTTCTGACAGATAAGTTAGGAAAAATCAAAGTATTGAGGAACAAATTACAAAGAAACATCTACTATCAAGTTTTTAACTTGATTGCAAAACTTAAAGATGTTATACTTTTATAAGGGCTGCACTAGCTAATTAAAACTGACAATGTTATATCTTTTAGAATCACTTTAGATTTCAGATCACATATAAGTTGGTATTCTCATTAAACTGAGAAGGTTATTGAATCAACAAATACATTTTTAAAGAAATCAACAGGGATGAAATGAAGAGCTTCACAGGATTTCTTTGTCCCAGCTTCAAGACATACAGCAGGCCTGCTTTTCAATATGGAGCTGAACTATTTATTACTGCATCTGAAAAACACCCAGAAAAAGTTGGAAATTCTTCAGAAGAATGCTTTTATTCTAAAAGTAGGTGGTGATTACTTCCCCCCCCCCCCCCGCAACAAAAGCCATGCAACAATAGACTGGTCTGGAATCATTGGTTGACTATAGGCAAAGATGCACTTTGAAATAATTGAAAAGCATCTGCCATGTGGTAGTTTTTATGACATAATACCTGCTCAACTTAGATTAAAAAAAAGAAAAGATTAAAATGCCTTCTTGGATTTAGCAAAACCAGACCTCTGCTTAAAGCAGCCATCTATTGTGGCCATATCAGTGTAGTCAACTACGGTCTGAAACTGGCTCTATCTGTAAGCAAGAAATTTTCTGCAGATTCAGAGCTTAAGGTGGCTTCTCACAATTGACGAAGGATACAACCCTGGAAATTGGCTGCACATTCCCATGAATAGTATCAATGTGAATGCCATTAGAAATGCTAAAGCTGGGGGTACACTCAAAACACTTTGATTTCGACAGAGATGTCGATAAATTCTGTAATATCTTTGATGATAAAATAGGCTGTTGTTTCTTTACCTGTAAAGAAATTGGCAAGAGGATGGAGTCAAGTTTTGTTATCTTTATTGACATTGGGGCACTTTCTTCTATGTACCTTAGTGGTAAAAAATCACCTTATGACTGCCAGACTGCTCTCGGCTTCCATTCCATAAATAAACTTGCCAATATGCCTATTATGTAGTCTGCCCAACATGACTAACAACCACATCTAAAATTGCCTTAACTTTGATGACACAGCAGAGAGATTCAGGTAAGAGTCAGGTAGGACACCCAAATTCACCTTTAGCCACACATGTACAGTTCCACTGCACTAACTGTGCAGTTCCACTGCAGTTTGGGTGGAGAACATCCCAGGGCAACGTATCTAATCTGGTTTCCTGCCCTTCTTCTCCTACCATCAAACCACTCAGTAACTATAACCACTTACTAACTACTTTACCAATCAGAACACACATTGCAGACAGCAATTCTGCTGAAGATGTTATCATGTTACTTGTCTCAAAAGTTGTCTGATATAGTGGCTAAAATGTCATGTTCCAGTATAGATTTAATTTTTCCCCCATGAGTTACATATGACTGATACTAAATAATATTCATCATAAAAATGTTTAAAATATAAACTCCTTGTATTGAGTACATAAATAAATGATAACTTACCTCAACTTATCTCAATTTAAATTTTCTTTGGAATAACTTTTCTGTAAACTTCAGAGAAAGAGTAAGTTTTAGTTTACTTCAATAAAAATCTTTTCATTAATCATCCATTTAGAAAAAAGAAAAGAAAAAAAAAAAAAAAAAAAGAGGTGGATCTGCGTTTTCCTCAGTTTTATGGTTTTATTTTTCACAAGCACGTAACATGAATATAAATTTAAATTATAATAAATCATCTTTTCTTCACTATAACCATACTAGTATTGTGTGTGTGTATATATATGTGTGTATATATATATATATATATATAGGGTAAATCAGTAGTAAAAAAATTTGTTGAAGAGTACAGTATGTTAGAATAAAATAAATGAAAAATTGCTTTTTGTATAATTTTTTGTAGTGCTTTAATACTTAAATTATATTTTTAAGTTAAAAATATTTTTCATGAGTGAATTTTATTTTAAAATGGTATTGAAAAACTAATAGCACTAGCAAAAAAGAGCTGGTGGCAGTGGAATTTAATCCAAGTATTTTGCATTTACTAATCATTCTATTTGGTCAGATTAATGGCATTTTCTGGAATTTAAGCTAGAATTTCTGCAATTATTTTGAGTGAAGTGATCACTCTCTGTTTACTCATATATGTTCTTAGCAATTATGCAATTTTTTGGGGAAATCAATAACTTGGGCACTCTTATTGTAAGTTAAGATATTTATTCTTTTTCTTAATCTTTTAATATTTAGTAATATATTTGAGAGAAGTTTGCTATATTAGAAATATTATTATTTAAATTTGTGTATTTATTTAATTTAACTATTTTTGTCTTACAGTTTTCTTTTAATATTAGTATACTTTTATTAGTAAACTTATATTTTTAAATTAGTATTTTCTAGAACCTGTTTCGTGGCAAGAAATTTTTCTAGCTGCTGTTGAAATAAATAAAGAGATTCTTTGTGATCTAATTGAACTTGAGTACCAAGATTTTCAGAAGACAGCTGAAGTGCAATCTGAAGATGCTAGTTTCCATTATAAGCAACATATACATCGAAAGTTAGAATATAGGGTCTGTCAGTTTAATATTTTATTCTTGTAATAGTAGATTTACTTTCAAAATCATGTTATTTCTTTATTACCATAGCTAATATTCTCTCAGTCATAAATTTCATTTAGTCTAAGATTCAATTTAGTTTTTAACTTGAAACAAACAATTCCATTCCTTTCTTCAACTTCCTGATCACACATAATATATTTACTTCAGTACTTGTTGTGTTATTTATTGTATATTGAAACCTTCTGTAGTTTCCTCAAATACACTTCAAATCCTTTCATTCTGCTAAACAAAACTTGGCTTCATTTCCCCAGACTTAAAATGTACTCTTCCAAATCAACTTTTAATTAAAAATTCAGTTATTAGTTCAAAGGGCTATTAGTCTCAAAACAGCATTTTGCTTTATTACACTTTCTGCGTTGGTTCACTTTTCAAACTGTTGTCGTCAAATATTATCGCTATATATTATATTTAAAGAAACTAAATTATGAAGAATCTGCATAAATTCATTAATGTTTCTTGCACTGTGAAATACAACGGTACCTAAATTTATCAAATTTTGAATAGCATAGTCCTCCAACCGAACATGGGTTCTTGGAAGTCTGAATTTTGAATTTCGAATTTGTTTTATTATCTGTTTCTAATTTTGTAAAACTTAAATGAATTTTTGATTTAACGAACTCAAAGATTTCAAAGCGAGCAGTGGCAATACTGTACAGGGGAAAAAAAAAACATTTTTATCTCCAGTGCACGAGACTATGTATCAGAAATTCTAAAGATGTGCTGTTTTGTGGTTTTAAATATTTTGTGATATTGCTGTTGAACTGAATTTTCTGTGGCTTAAGTGCAAAAAACACCATATTCAATAAATAAAGGTAATACACAGAATGTTATAAAAAATGCCATTTTTTGCTTAAAGAGTAGCTGCAGTTGACAAAAATGTCTTATCTCATATTCTAACGAAGCAATTAAAAATGTTTGTTCACATACAGAGGAGGGGGAGGGAAAATACTTTTGATTTGAGCATTACAAGAATTTAAGTTATTTTTTTTAGTCATAAAACTGCAATTATTTTACAGAAGTTAAATTTTCTTTTTTTTTTTTTTTTTTTTTCCTCCTCCTTCCAACAAAATTCACCATTGCACACTTAAATACCTTATTCTAGATATGAACTCTTGGAGTATCTATATTATTTCTATTTAGTGGAGCTTAATATACATACATCAAACAAGGATGGCCTTGAATTTTCATACTTAACAGCGTGAGACCTGTGTTCTGAAAAAAGAAACTCATGAAGCTTCCATATTTCCACCATTACTGGTTTAAAAAAAAAATAGCCTTCTTTTTTTTATACAGCCAAAATTATTTAAATTTTCATGTCCATTAAAATCATTTAGTTCTGATTAAGGGCTAATTCTAACCCATCTTCACTGTCAACCTTTCAGAAATTTATCTGCTGATTTCTTTTTGTTTATATTTTGATTGTCAGATGACACTAGAGGTTTCGTTTTCTGTCATTTAGTAATATCTTTCAAATTTTCAAAGCTCTTTAAAATTTTTTATCTTGAAGATAGCAGTTCTATGCAACCTTCAAAACTGTGTCATTATTCTTATTGTTGATAAAAAAATAATAATAACATTTACTTTTGCCATGTTTTTCATATTAAAAATGCCATTTGTTTAATTATGGCAAAGAATTTTTTTCCTTAGGAAGTTTCTTTCACAGATGGCTTTATAGGTGGAGAGTATTTTTCATTTGTGTTTCATACATGGACAACCATGGAATTCCCATGCAATCAGTTGATTTAAGTACAGGATATTGAACATAGGCCAAATTTCCATAGTTTTAATTTCTTGGCTGTTGGTTTGGTCATTTATGAGAAGAAAACATAAGTTTTTCCTGGGGCAAAAATGTTCAGATCATTTATGCTTTCTTTATAAGCAGTTTTACTGAAAACTGTAACAGAAGAATATTTTTAAGTCTTTCATAAATATGTTGAGTTTTATGAAATGTTTAAGAATAGATAGTAATGCATCCATAATAATCAGTTATAATGTTATATCTTAATAACTGGAGGATTAATAGTGTTGGGTTATAACACTTTGGCCTTTCTACTTAAGTAATCTCATAATTTTTCATATTCATAAAAATATTCCCATTGTAAAGAATAATATTTTAAATTATGATCCATTAATAACTTTTGAAATGATGATTTACTTTTCACAGATTTATATCCCTCTTTTTCAAATCACAGACCAGTTTATTCCACTAGCATGTGTGGAGACATTATGAAATTTTAGGGATATAATTTAGATTTACAAACATTACTAAATGCATAAGTTTGTTATGATGTTAAGTGCAAAGAAACTATGATATCTTCTGTGGTGTTCTAAACTCTGTTTTACCATGAAAATGTGTTTAGAATTTTAAAAAATATTATTATGAAATTTTAGAATGAGATTGCTCTCAAAACATATAAAAGTATATATTGTTTCACATTCTTATATATTAAAGTTGACTTTTTTTAAAATTATTTAGAGTATTACTTTTGGTATTGGCCTCATGTTTTAATATTTTGAAAAACTGTAAATGTGCAATTTATTTTGAGTGTTTGTATGTATATTTTTTGCATAGTATATATTCGCAACAGCTATTCCTATTGTAATCCATTTTTAAAACAAATTATTTGATATTTTAATTATTACAAAATATTAAGTTTGTGTGTATTATTTATTTAATCACTTTTATTTTACTTGTAATTTTTTTGTTTATAAATATAGGCAGCAAGTGTTCTCGATTTGCCTATTACTCTTCAAGACCTTTTAGATGGAGTTGCTAATTTAAAGAAAAAAAACCTCATTATATATAAAGAGCTTGATAACACTGAAAATAATGTAATTTTGAAATGTTATTCTGTTTCTTTTCTGAAAATTGAATAATTTTTGTATTTTTAACTCATATAGTATAAAATAATTGGACTTGAGTCCTAAAGCATCTCTAGTATTTTAAAAATATTGTTAATTAGAAGATATGAATTAATGAATTATTTCCAAAATTTAGTATACACATTTGTTTTCTGTTAATTTTCTCTCCTTTTTTTCTTTTGTTTACTTCACATCAATGGTCATTAAAAATAAATTTCATTTATTTTGCTCTCATGTATTAGAAGTCTAATTACATTTGAACAATAATTTTTTAATTTCATTTATCATATCACCAGAATGAAACCTATTAGTGTGTTTAGTATAAAAGCAGTAAGAATACTGGGAATGACAAATTATTTGATATTTTATTCATTACAAAATATTAAGTTTGTGTGTATTATTTGTTTGCGTGTATTATCTGTTACAGAATTTACTGTTTTTACAATTCTAGATATTGTCCATTGGTCATTTCTAGATATTGTCACATTGCCAATGGTCAGTAGTTTTCAGATACCCTGATATTGCTGGTTTCAATTCCCGGCCTGAATTTCTTTATCCAAGGCCACACACAATGTATTGGCAATGAGATAGGTGCCACCAGCTGTCTTTTTTAACTGAATGGAAATAATTATAGCCATTTGGGCTAAACTTTGAGGAATTATGGTAACTTAAATTCAATCTTGTCTGCATCAAGCCAAGTCCTTAAGCTTATGTCAATGAGTCTGATGTTGTCACTAAGCATATTTCTGTTTTTGATGGTATTGAGCCAAAAGCATGTGCTTGGGTTCAGTGTATTAGGGCATGATACTGTGTAACATTTCTCTTTAGTTCTCATCAGTTTAGTTTAGTTGTTTTGCTTGATCTTGTTTTTGAGTGATCAGTGTAAACTGATCCATGTCTCTCATCAATGAATATTATAAGTTCCAGATGACTTTTTAGTTGCTTAAGGACTTGAAAATTGGCTCTGTAGTAAGCTGCATGTACTGCCAATTGCTCTAGACTTTTCCATGTATGTGAAGGTTTTTCAGTTACAGTAGAAAAATTAGGAACTCCCATATAAGATGGCAGAAACATCATAGACCTTGAATGTGTCGGAGTTTCTTTTATGTCTTTAATGCTGTTTTCTGCTTCATATCAGCTTTTGCAATCACCTCTATGGTGTTCAATAGCACAAAATCTCTCCTCTATGTTGGTTTCACACAGGACATTCATCCTCATTATCTTAAGCAGTCTTTTATGCACTTTTGCCACTGGCTGTCTGTTGTAAAGTAGTAAACTGATAATTTCACATTGTAAATGCAGATCATTTGAATTTCTTCTCAAGTTCTCAAGTATCAACTTCAATAGCTGTCTTAGATCAAATAATCTAAAACTTTCTCCCTAACAATCCAGTCAGTTAAGTAATTTAAAGGCTTAATTGACTGGAAATCAGGCTCTTCACCTACACAGATGTTATTTAGCAGTGAACAAAAATAAATTTCTGTTAAAGTCTGTTTTCTTTCCATTCAAAGTACAAAATCTTTATTTTCCTAAATTATTTTCTAATTTCTTGGGAAGCTTTTTTTTTTCCCCTTTAAATCCAAGTTTCGCCTTTTTTCCCCCCTCCCCCCGATTTTTTTTTAATCAACTGCAATCATAAGTTATATATGGTCTGTTCTTATACCTTAAATATTAGAGGCTTATGATTTGTTTAACTTTTTACTTAAAGTTATTAATAATTTTTATATTTAGCATCATACATTTAAATGCATATTTTGTATATTTAGATAGAATTTCCTCTTTGTGTAAAATATGTATATTTTATGAGATACAAATATATATTCTGAAAATGTTATATTTATTTTTTAGGTCTCTGAAAGTGAAAATTTTTCTAAAAATGAAAGTCTGAAGGTAAATTTATTTTGTTTTCACCATGATAGTTAATGTATTAATAATGAATTAAACTTCAAATAAAAATTAACCTAAAATTTATTCTAAGTATATTAGAACTACTAATATTTAGACTAACTGGATCCACAGCCCATATGCATTTTTGAAACATCCGAATAAGTGGGTTATTTTAGTTCTTGAAACAATGATATATTTATCAAGTGAAAGAACTCTATTTTTCCATTTGCTACATTTTATTTCCACAAAGATTACAACTAAAAAAGTAAATTTATTTATATAAAAGAATATATACTTCTTCTGATAAAATTAAGTAATGAAATTATATTTCATTTATCTAAAAATACACTCCCCCCTTTTTTTTCATGTGTGTGTGTCATTTATTCATATTTTTTCATTCAGTTAGCAGTATTAAGTGTATCTTTGGTGTCCTAAGAAAATACTTTCTTTTCAGAAGCATATATATATAAATCAGTGGGAAAAGAGTACTTTATCCTGAATAATAGTTTTAAAAAATCATGTTAAAATATTATGCATCTAAAGGTTGAAAGAGTGTAATGGACTCCCGTTTGTATGGAAGCTGCTTTGCTGTATAAATTTGAAGATGTTATAACGTAATAAGATAAGATATTTACTTAATCTGTTTTCACAAAATAAACGGTTTTTGTAACTAAATCATGATTAATGAAGTAAGCAAGTAATAGTATGCCAGTAGGCCATGTGTAATTGCTTTTCTCTCAATGTTTATATGCTTCATATTTGTTGCTCATTGTAAGTTAATATACATATCTTACACACATATCTGAATTTCATAAAGTGCTTGAAAATAATATATGCTGTAAAATATTTTCTTTTATATTATTTAAGTTGATGAAAAATTTAATTTATATGTAAATTAACATGAAACTAAATTTTTAGCCTAGGAAGAAAAATAAAAGATTTAGATAATTGAGATTTTATATACCTAAAGTTTGAAGAACTAAAGCTCTGTTATACTTTTATTATTCCCTTTAGGGAAGGGGAAGTTTCAAAAGTGTCAGAAAGAAAGTAAAAATTACATGCACTGTCAGTCGTTCTGTAACAGTCTCTGGAAACTAACATTTTGCATAACAAGTGATTATTTTAATCATAGTGATCATGGGGCTGCATAGCAATCATTAGGGATCATCCTAAAAACGTCTCCTTGCAGAATCCTGCATATATATGAATTGGAATCAGTCTAATTCAACAGATATCATGAATTTGCTAAATGAGCTTTTCAACAGATAGAAGGTAGTGGGGACTCGCTATTGAATGTTGATTGAAAATGCTGATGGTGCAAATCTCTTTGAAATGTAAAAAATTATTATTGATCATCTTTGAAGTAGCATTGGAATGTTCATACTTGCTCCAGCTATTTCCGAAACAATTGGCAAAATATCTTCTTTGGTTTATGTCACAGATTAGCTGTGGCTTCATTTTAGATAAAAAAATATTTACTCCATAGAGCCATCTTGATAACAGAGAATGATATGGTCAGAGTGCGAGAAATGTGGAAAAGGAAAGCAGTTGTGACACAACAGGGATCTGTTTCTAATGAAAGAAACTCAAGCTTTCTGCCAAAATATCCTTTGCTCAAAATGAAACTTCACGTGAAATGGTTGAAAACTGTTTTAATCCATATGCACTATGAACACTATTAGCTTGGACTTCATTTCTTCTATACAGAATACAATAATAGTTAAGTTCAAATATTGCAAAGTTTCAAAATCAAAACATTTTAGAGCTGAGATTTAATGGATTCAGTTTTTTAACATCGCTGTGTAATATTTATATGTAGTTGTTTAAAAAGGATTCTATTTGACCTGTCACGAAGTCCTGTAGAAAAGTGTAGTAACAGAATAAACATGCGTGACACCCTACGCTATCATTAAAAAAAAAAAAAAATTGCAAAATGATTTTTGGTAATAATCTGTAAAGGCTCTAAATTAGATATATGTATATATAACAGTATTGTATATAAATTACATATATATTAATTAAAACCAATGCAGTGAACTTTTCAGTTAATGAAAGCATAAATGCATACAGCTGGCATATCTGGCCAAGAGCGCAGGTGTGAAAACCACTTCACGTCAACCAAAGATGGCAGCATGATACAGGTTCATGGCATCATTCATTGTAGCCCCATTTTTCTTTGAGGAAGTCTGCAATGGTACATTTTTAACTGTTTCTGTCTAAGCTGAGCATTATGTAGAGCTTTGAGAAATTAGCATATTTCCCTCCTTGCAAGAGAGTCGGGTGCTCTGCATAGATACTTCTGAGCAGCTTCTACAATTAATATTTAATGATGACTGTGACTACAGTCATTCTTTACCTCTTGAATGGCCAACAAGATTTCCACTAAGGCTATGGTTTAAGAGCCATTATAGCTTACATCTTATGAGTTTAGATTATGGATATACTTGAAGTGAGAGATGTACAGAAGTTAGCCATAGTTATTGGCCATACTAAAAGAAGTTATTCTTCATTGTGTGACAGGAATTACAGCTAAACCACTTCAATATTGCAAGAGAGTTTAATGTCATGTCTGGTGACCATTGTCATGAATGAAAACTGTAGGCTTGCTATTGTATGTTAAATTCATGCATGTAATATTTAATAATTTGTAAATGGCAACATTTAACATTTAATATTTAGAAACATGTAATTGACAACACTTTGGACAGAGCTATTAAAAAAAATAGAACTATGCTGGGATTGCAGTTCTCTGCAATATAATACATTCTATGATTATAAATAAATAGTTTCTGAAAAGGAACCACCTCTTGTGGCTGTTTAAATTAAATAATAGCAGGCAGTTAAATTCAAATACAAATAGTGTAATCTTAGATTACATATTCAATAGACAGATTCAGACACAAAACAAATTGCAAAACAAATGATTAAATAATACCAAACAGAAAATGCTAAATTTAATAGCCGAGGCAACAATTGTTCTGTTATGCTTAAGAGGTTAAAAAAAAATTGCTGTGTATGCAGGGAAGGTGGGTGAATTCTTTGATAGCAGAAAGGCTTTGATGAGGTTTTTTTTTTGGGGGGGAGGATCAAGTTGTCATATCTCTGACTATTATTTTGTCAGAGCTTCATTTGTGCAACATTTGTATTTAGTATGAGGTATTTTGTACAGGTAAGACATTATTTCATCTTAGTAAAGCTTTGGAAGCCTTTTATTTGTTTCTCAATTCTCTTTTGCACTTTGTGAAAATTGGATCTTGTGTACCATATAAAGATTACAAATTACTGGGTCTCTTCTTTGTTAAGAATTCTTAAGCATTTTATAAAATTTTGTTACTGAAAAAAATATTAACTTTCTTGCCTCTTGAGGCAAGTTTTATTGAAAAACATTTGTTATTATTACAAATTGAAAAACATATGTTATTAACATTTGTTATAATTTTTTCCCTTCTAGGCATCAGATATTATAAAAAAATTCAAATGCATTTTGGCAAGCGTTTTTGTGTCTAGAAAACATGGAGCTTATCTTCTTGATAATGAGAATGGGAAGTTAAAAGATATTCAAGAAGATAACCTTAAAAATTTAAGGGTAAGGCAATTTTAAAAATTATATTTTGTATATCATGATACTATCATCATATTATTATATGCTCCTTGATAAATATAAATAAGTAAAAAAGTTGTACATCATATTTGCTTTAAGGAGTAGTGAGCTTTTTAAAATATAATATTGTGTTAAAAACTTCAGTGATAATGCTGATGAGGCAAATCTCTTTGCAATGATTAAATAATACCAAATTATTATTTGATCATCTTTGAAGTAGCATTGGAATGTTCATACTTGTTCCAATGCTCCAGCTATTTCCAAAAAAATTGGCAAAATATCTTCTTTGGTTTATGTCACAGATTAGCTGTTGCTTCATGTTAGGTAAAAAAAATATTTACTCCATAGAGCCATCTTGATAACAGAGAATGATATGGTCAGAGTGTGAGAAATCTGAAAAATGAAAGCAGTTGTGACATAACAAGGATCTGTTTCTGATGAAAGAAACCCAAGCTTTCACCAAAATATCCTTTGCTTAAAATGGAACTTCACATGAACTGGTTGAAAACTGTTTTAATCCATATGCACTGCAACATGAACCCTATTAGCTTGGACTTTTCTTGTATTTCTTCTATACAGACTACAATAAGTTCAAATGTTGCAAAGTTTCAAAATCAAAACATTTTAGAGGTGGGATTTAATGGATTAAGTTTTTTAACATTGCTGTATAATATTTATATGTAGTGGTTTAAAAAGAACTCTATTTGACCTGTCACCAAGTCCTGTAGAAAAGTGTAGTAACAAAGTAAACATGCATGACACCCTACGCTATCGTAAAAAAAAAAAAAAAAAAAAAAAAAAAAATTGGTAGTAATCTGTAAAGGCTCTAAATTATATATATATATTATGTATGTTATATATGTAGAAAGTAATATAGTTTGTAAATAAGCACAGAAATTTTGCAGAAAGGTTCGAGTTGGTATTAAAATCAGTTCTTGAGTAATTTTATGAATTTATATAAGTTGAACTGAGAATAATTGAATACAGCAAAAATGTGCAAATCAAGTTGTTTCCAGCCATCAAAATTAGAATTAAGGACTATATTTTAAGGTAGTAATAACATAAAAGCAAAGTAATAAACTATGGGATATGACAGTTAACGAGATTTAGTAATATGAAAAGCAAAATATTTGTAGTAATAAGCTGTACAAATTTATATAAAGGGGATTAATTGTTGCTATATCCAAAAATGTCCTCAAAAGTGAATAAAAGAATAAATGATTTACCCATGGAGTTTTCAATCATACAGATATCTGGCATTCTAGTTGGTATTTTTTTATCATGGCTAATAACTGAAAACCTTTAAATATTTCACTAATTTTCTTGATTATCTTAAAATTTCAGAAATTAAACTTACATCATTGGCACTGTAAGCAGTGCTTCCATAATTATTTTGGTGATTTTTATTTTGAACTGTGTGGCAATGCCAGCCTGCTTTATGCTGTAGAAAGAATTGTGCTAAGTTGCATAGAGACCTTTGTTTTTAAGATGGTGCACTCTAGCAACCTATTTTACTTTCAAGTTTAGAGTTTTATGCTTCTTGATAATTTCATCAATAGGGAAATCTGAGGGAGATTTCTAAGCACAACTTTAACAGGTCTTTCAAATTTTGGGGAAAATGACATAGTGCTCAACATTCTTCTCAGCCAGATATGTGGAAATAATTCTGTAAAAGCCTTCTTTTTTTTAGATGTGGCCTTAAAAATTGGCATGTCCTATGAAATCAGTTTTTTTATCATCCAAAAAAATTTATAAAGTCTAAAAGTTTCAACTCAGTCATGTTTGAGCATAAGTGGCTTTACCCTTGGTGTTTGAACTGTTTGGGTGGCTTCCATGTGGTTGATCTTAATATCCATATTCATGACATTGTAGCTATTATCAGCATGTAAGGACCTGAATTTTTTACTAACAGAGAAATCTGCATTATGCTTCACAACTTTAGTAGATATGGTAGTTTTTCATGGGAAACCTTCCTTAATCAAATTACTGTTTTCATATAGGGTATGTTTTTGAAGCTTTTTAAAGGGTTTTAATCATTTTGCTAGTATTAGAATTAACATTGTTCATTACATTAGCATTTTCACAATCATTATTAGTAAAGCTGTGCATATTTACATTTTCAGTAATCTTTGAAGAATCGTTAGCATTAGCTGAATTACTATTCCTATTAGAATTAACAGCTTTTTATCATTAATAACAATCTCTTTAATCCTATTCCGCATAAATCGATCTTGAATTAATTTGTATTTGAATTCGATCTTCAGATTGTGATTTAATTTTTCTGTACATGATACAGCACATTCATTGCATTTTTGGATACTGAACTGTGTGCTTGCACTGAATGATTTATTACTAATGGAAATATTCAGCAGCTAAGAAATATTTTGAGCCTTGTTGTGGCAAACAAAATAAATTTTATCACTGCAAATATGTATAGGTGTTTAAAATTACATATTAAAAGTTCGCTAAAATGCTTTTATTGAATTTACCAGAAAATTTACTTTTAATTGCAATGTTTTATAATACAATAAAAAAATTACAATTAAACTTTACATTTAATAAAATATCTTTAATTAGAGTAAATATTTTAAATTCAGATGTAAAGTTTACTTGCCATTAAGTTTTTTATTGTGGAAGATAAATAAAAGTTTTTAAATTCCTATTTTGTAGTGAACATGTTCAGATTAAGGACTAGTTTTTTTGAAATATATCGGCTCTTGGTCTCACTATTTTTCCATTGTTCAAAGAACATACATACAGATTCTTCAGTACTTAATAGTGGAGATTATGTTTGTTCATAAAGTATTTATTCTGTGAATATATAAAACATTTCAAGTAGCATAAATTGTGTTAATGCATAGTATCTACATGTCTATTTCTCTAGATTTCAGTTATTTTAAATACCTTAAAGCAGTACTGTGAGAATGGAGTAAAATGTAGACAGAAAGAAAATAAATTGATTGATTATGAACTGAATAAGTTAGGAGATCTTAAAGTAAGTTGTTCTTTGTCATAAGTTTAGTTATTTTTATTTTGCATTTTTCTAAAAAAAAATTATGCATTTAGAAATAAATCATTTTATTCCTAGTGCATTTTTTCTGGATATTTGGAATGTGGTATGGATATCTCATTACAGCAAAAAAATAAAAAGAGAATTAAGTTATTAGACCAGATGTTGTATAAAATTGCATTACTTCAGAACGAATTCCATGCAAAAGTAAGTTTTAAAATTATGTATGTCATGTAGTTAAACTGGCTTTGCAATTTGTCAGAAAATGTTTTATTAACACCTTAAAGAAGTGTTCTTACACTGGTGAGAAAAATTAGAGGAACAACTACAGAAACTCGTGTAACTTTAAATAAATTAGCAGATAATATCTGGAACTTGCCCTTTCCTTTCTCATGCCTGATTTATCTCCAAAATGCAGAATTGGCCATTTCTAAAATAAATAAATAAATAAAATGATAATTATAACTGTTTTTAAAGGTACATATGAAAAATTAATAAGGTGTGTGACCATCCCTGACCAAAATCAAATGTTGCATTGATTTTTTTCATGCTATGTATTAGAATGTGCATGAATTGTGGTAACAAAGTATGAGTATATTTAATGTGATAAGTTCTTTGAAGCTTTGAAGGATGCTAGGAGGAGGCTGGAGTGATGCAATCCTATACATCCACATATGCATCACAGCATCCTATATGTTCTATTAATTTTAGGTCTGGAAAGTACATGGGCATTTTGTCCACTGGATTTCACCCTCAAGATAATAGGCCACTAGTGCAACATAATGGAGATGAGCATTAATATTCACTAAGAAAAAATTATTACTATCATTCATCTAGAGCAATATTACTGTCTGTGCCCTTACAACTTGAGATAAGGATCAGAAAACTAATATATCTAATCTTATTTCAGGATTCATAGTTGTACTGGTAAACATGTGCAGGTCAGTGCAGCCTTTCAAGCGATGTCTGCCATATTGTAATTTCACCACTTTTGTACCAATGCCTTTCATGGCTGTTTTCATGTTTATTGCATGTGTTCTACTTCTCTCAGACTGTAACATGTCTGGAATCATTCTCCAAGAAGAAGCAAGACTCATTAATAAAGAGAACTGGCTCTAGTCCATGGTATTCCAATCACATTGATTCTCCCTACCACAGCAAACGAGCACATTTTGTAGCCTAAGTTAGTGAGACACTAAATCATCCTGGCATACAGCTTTCTTTTATACAGCATTTCACTCATGGTAAATCTAGGTAGTGAGGTTTCTATAGCTGCAGTGAACTCCTTTGTAATCTGGTTCATCTGGTCAGTGCTTTTTCTAAGTAGCAGTCCTACAAATCTGTTGTGCTACATTTTGGATCTTGACATGATTGTTTGCATACATCACCAGTCTCTTTAAACCATTTTTAGACTCTTGGCATGATGTTTTCGGTTTCACCCAATTGCATACCATTTTTCACCATTTCTCAGGTACATTCTCAATAACATATTCCTCCTTTCATATGTGAAAATTCTATCTAACTATTCATACTATAAGGTATTTCTCCCCCCTTCCTAGTGGGGTGGTCTACATGCTGAGCGCTTATTCCAGAGGTCCATGGTTCGATTCCCAGTGAAGGTATTGCTCATTTTTCACATCTCCTGTTTTCCGGGAGGGGGGGGGGAAACCCTGATGTTACAGTGGCGCCTAAACTAAAAGGGTGGTGGATAATGATTTTCCACACCCAGGATTTGGCGATAAAGTGCCCTAAAACCCCAGTTACCCTTTAAAAGGGAGTATATAAAGTACTTCTTCCGCCTTCTCGGCATGCCTTCATAGTGTGGTGGTCTGCACCCTGGGTGCATATTCCAAAGGTCCATGGTTCAATACCCGGCAAAGACATTACTCATTTTTCACATCTCCTGTTTAAAAAAAAAAAAAAAAAAAAAAAAAAAACTAATGTCTCTACAATATAATCCTTGAAATTAGAATTTGAAGCAATTCCTCGCGTTCCTTTCCACATCTCCACAAAGAATGAGTACAAAAATGTGCATATTTTTGTGTTACAAGGATTAATTCCATTGAAATGTGTAATAATGTTGACCTTGAACTATCAAGCAATTACTTTTCTGACTCAATTTCATTTAGACTTCGCAACTACCTTTCATTAGACTTTACACTATGTAATTGACATCAAGCACTTTTTTATAATTGCTTCTTTAATTAATTACACCCCTAGGTTTTCATTTTGCAAATTTTCTCTCTTTGTAAAATATAAATTTTTAGTATTTGTTTTGCAGAAAATATACCTTAAAGTCCTCATATGCAAGTGATTATGTGTAAAAAGTTCATTTTTCTTGCATTTTCAATAATTAAATTTTCAAAAGTCTCAATGTGACAGTATTTTATGAGAGAATTACTGCAAGTTCCTTTGGCTGTTCTTCTACATTATTGTTTTGAATACCTTATTATAAATGATTTTATGCCTTGCATCATGAATGTGTAGAGATTAATCCTTAAAGTAAAACACTTGTCATAAATATTTATCTTAAAATTGTGTCATTAGTTAAATTGCAATCTGAATATAAAGACTACATTGAAGGTTTTAGCGTTTTACATATCTTTTAATAGTAAACTTCTTTGAGAAGTATTAGATTGTAATCTGAATTTTTCATATTGTCCCATTTTTTTTTTCCTATTTTGTTCAACAGATAAGATTTGTGGTTTTGATTGTTAGCAGCTGTTTATTACTTTTTTATACTTCACAGATAATTTGTCTTAAGTCTTTATTTTTATTTTTCATATTTTATGTTCAAATTTTATTATAATAATAATTTTATGTATTGTATGTATATAACAGCTTGTAAAATATATAAATTATTGCATTGGAGTATATGAAACTGCAGTTCAGAGAAGGAAAGATGAAATGCAATACACGGATCTCTCTGCAATTGATGTGTCTGGGAAGAAATTTGAAATGAAGGTTCTATATTTACCTTATTATATATCTTCTATATTTTACTTTATCTAAATTATTTTTGTCTTGCATCTTGCAGTTGTACATTTTTCAAAATTTAAGACTATTGCAAGCATTTTCTGAAAATCTTTATGATTAATATATTCATTTTTGATATTGCGATCATTAGTTAATTGAAATTTAACATTTGGAACTGATCTTAGAGGGGAAAAAATCTCCAAAGAAAGAAATTTTGTCTTTTTTTTTTTTTTTCACTTCATATTTAGGACAGCATACCATGGATATGACCTGCCTGCCAATATGTGGAATGCTTTTAAATTTCTTCATCTGAATCTAAGGTCATTGCTTGCCATTAAGTGATATCAATTTAATATGAAGTATGATTACTTTAGTGATAATGTTGCAACTAAAATACATTTGAAAGTTTCAACTTCTAAACCTCATTTTATGTTTGAAGTAGATAGCCTTATTCTTATACTAGAATGTAGCTTTATTGCTATTCAGAATTATGAAATTAGCTTTATTACTACTCAAAATTAAACAATCGGAATCGTAAGAAGAAGATCCTGAGAGAAGCAACTGCTAAACTGATGATTCTACATTGAAAATGGGCAAATGCTGCATTAAGTAATTGGTGTCATTAATAAAAAATGTCAAAATAATCTATTTTTGGTAGTCATATGGTAAGTATTGCATTTAAAAAGTCCTCAGGGAAGGGAATAGTGCTAATATTCTGAGTACAGAAGAATAAGGATGTTAAAAGTGTATCGGAATTATCTGAAAACCATTTGAATTATCTGATTGCATACAGTTAGTATTTTATGGTGGTGTTACAGTGAAACACCGAAATCCGGAGTATGTCGACTTTCACCAGTGAATGTCAACATTCACATAGTCAAGACAATAACACGCCGAATAAATACTAATTCAGAAGTCAAACAACAAAAATCAGCGTTATATTTACAAAATTTTCACAGGACTAGTTTCGATGGTTTTACCGAACCACCATCTTCAGCTGCAAAACCGCAAATGAACAAGATAGAAATAATGATTAGATAAGATAAGAAAACCTGGACAAGAATAAGCAAGTGGTGCCATCTGTTGGTGAAACCAGAACTAAAACATAATTTCTTTAAAGGCCGAACACAAATTTGGATTGGAATTAGGATCGTTAACTAGAACAGAAAGATTTTTATGAATGTGAAATGCTTCTAGAAAATCCAGTTCTCCAATGGAAGATGTTTTTTGAATAATTTTGGCAGCAGAAATACTGAAAGGGTGGTTTTCGGACCAACAATGTTGAGCAACAGAAGACTTCTGTGTTTCCTTTTTTCTAACATAGCCTCATGTTCCTTGACGCGAAATTTTAAGGCTCTCTTAGTTTGGCCAATGTAAATTAAACCACACTGGCAAGGAATCCTTTCGTAAATATAACGCTGATGTTTGTTGTTTGACTTCTGAATTCACATAGTGGCTTGATGTATGTCTGAAATATTTTCCAAATACTCTTATTTCTGACTTACACCGGTGAATGTCGACATTCACCATGTACTAATGGTGAATATTGAACATATAAGAATATTATATTTCCTTCTCCGTAATTCATTAGGGAAAAAACGCACTTGAGACTCAGAATAAGAACTTAAGAACATAAGAACTTAAAACACACAGTACATTCAAAATGAGAAAGGAAAATAATAGAAGTTATAAACTTACCAAATTATGTGATTCAAATCTTATTTATTGCAACAACTTAAACTATTATGATACTTTGAGTTGCACAAGAGGCCCTTGCTTTTACAACTGCATTTATTTGTGAAACACTTCCTTTTGGAATGGCAGCGTGTACATATATTCCTCTCTTTTCGACCTACACCAGAGCATATCTGTGATTGTTGACATACACCGGTGTGAGGGTCCAAATGTACAAGAATGTAAAGAAATATTCGATCTTTCACTGACATATTTGGTGAATGTTGACATTCTCTGGTGAAAGTCGACATTCTCCAATTTCGGTCTTTCACGGTAACAGTGTCACACCAAACAAATTTTTTCTTTGTCTAATTGAATATGACTCATTTGATTCATTTCCGATTTTCATTATGCTTATTATATTTTAATAAAATAAATACAAAGGCTAAAATTCACAGAGAATTTTGAAAATAAATTATTAAGTCAAATGCGTCAAATCTTATGACAAAATTTGGTAAGCAACTACAAAACAAAAATTGCTCATTTTGGTGGTTGGAAAGCTCCATATGGATGAAACACTACTTATTTTGTTGAATTTATAGCTGATTTCATGAAACCATTATTTATGCATATGTATGGGAATTTAAAACTTAAAAGTACAAAACTTTTTATATTTAACTCGTGAAAGTATAACGTATATTAAGTTGAACATTTTCTGTATAGATACATATAAAAATTTAGATTTCGTGTTTAGAACCACCTCACATACAATGTTAAAATGATTTTCATTTAATTCTGTAGCTAATTTAAAAAAAATCTTATAACTGCAAGTTTAGTATCAATATTTTAAAAATAAAACCTGTAGCTATCTTTTTGAATACCAAGAACTATGAATTACTTGTCCCTAAAACAAGTTTGATATTTTCAGTATCTTGAATTACTGTCTAGAATTAAAGAAGTATTACTGTCAGCAGTCAACTTAGGAAAGCCAGAAATTCAAAATATGATGACAGAAATTCAGAAATGGAAAATTACGGATAATTTAACGGAATCAATTGAAAACAAGGTTAGTAATTTGGTAATTTTTGCGAGGGGAAGATAACTATAAGTAGTAATTAAATTAAATAAATATATTACTAATATGAAAAACTGGCTTCTTCTTTAAGAAGTCTCCTAATTTTTGTCTCTTAATGTCTGAATTTCTATCTTATTTCTGTAGCTAATTAGAAAGAGTGTTTTAACAAAGATATTCAAAATAATTTTCATTAAACCTGTTTCAGTCAAAAAAACATATATCATTTGGAAAATATTTTTATCATAATAAGAACTGAATATTTTCAGAAATTTAGAAATTTAGTTTGTAGCTAAAAAATATAGCTGATTTTGGAACTATCAGTGGATAAATGGATAAAACCATTGACAACTAGTAGTTTGACTATGTTCAAATCCCACTGAACAGTTTATTTGCATACAGTTTTCATGGGTTTTTTTCATACGTAGCATGTTTATTGGTTAATGGAATCTGTCTATTGTAGGAAATAGTAAACAACAGTTAACTCTCTCTCTCTCTGTTTTTTATTATTATTATTGTGACATTATTTTCTCATTCCTCTTGCTCTCGAAAATATTATTAGGCAAGTATTATAATCAGCTATTTCAACTTTTCACCTTGAATGATCTAAACTTTCATTTTGTATCTCTTTGTAGTTTTCCTTTTTATCTTCAATTATTTTGAGAATTTCCTTATTATGCTTTTTGTTTAAAGTTCTCAGTAAATTTAAAACTGAAAGTCCATTAGGAACTACTTCCAGAAAATATTATGGAACTCATTCAGACTGTAAAAAGAGGGTTTTTTCTCTTTTTCTCTTTTTTTTTTTTTTTTTTTGTGCTTATGACACTAGTGAAAATAAATACAAATAACGACCTCATACAATAAATAGAAAATTATATTTGGAAATGAAATTTTGGAAAGACAATAGTAGTATAGCAAGCATTTTATCCTTTATAGGACATGTTGGTTTAAAATCAGAGTTTCAAAATGTAGAAACAGGCAGTCATTACTTTCATATTTTCCTTAGCTCTGGCCTAGTTTTCAAAGGTTAAATATCTATTAACTGCCATCATCCTTCCATTTAAGTTAGTATATACTAATAGCCAAACTATACAACTTTTGCTTTTTATCTCTTGATATATCATTTTATATTTTCATTGCATGAATTGATCATTTTGGTGATATTTCAAATTTTCATAACTGCATTAAAAGGATCACATCTCCTAATCGCCTTATTTTTTGCAATTTTTTAACTGCTAACTGCAGAATACTAAATTTTCACTGTTATTTCTAATAAGATGATTCATATATATTTCTCTCAAAAAAAATTCAGAGGTTAAAGTTGGAGACCTTCTTAATTGAAAGTTGTTGATATAGAAGCATATGTTACAAGCAACTATGCATACTGATCAGCAGTAGACAATTAACTTAGTTTAAAATGTTTCTGGGTAAAGGTAACCAAAATAACTGTTGCCATAACAATAATAACTAAAGTAAGATATCATTTTAGCAAAAGAGTTTGACTTAATACTCTTTCCAGTTATGTTTCTACTTATGAGCTCAAACACGAGCATTTAATTACTAAATCAGTTTCACACTTAAAATAAAAGGGAACATTAAAAATAATGATCACTATGTTAATAATCAATTACAAAAGTTCATTTAACTTTTAGTATCTCTTTTATATTGAGCAATACATGTTTGTTATAGTCTCCAATGATATACTGCAGATTGAAGTGAAATATAGAGTAAAATCTTGACTTTTCTTGTATTTTGCTTGATTAGAAATGTTTCCTTTGTTTGCTAATAAGCCTTTGATTCTCTAATAAATCAAATAAGTAAACATGTGAAATTCGCTATGTAATGAATTAATTGCATGGGAATAAGAATGGAAGAGTTAAAATTAAAGAATAAATCCAAATGTAAAGTTTTATATACATTTTAAGACTTGAAGCTAAGATTAAACAAAATTAAATAAAAAATAAATAATATTAAATAAAGATTAAACGAAGGGGGATCAGTTGTTTTATTGTTTTGTCACAACATAACTCGAACTTTGGGCAACAAAGAGCAAGAAAGCAAACAAAATAATTCAACTCATGAAATTAATCAAAAACTTTACTGCACAATGTTTTGAGTAAAAAACATCATTAATCATTAATTATAATGCCTAAAATTGAATAGCATATTATGCCAAATTCAATGCTAAATAATGCTATTTCACCTGATATGATCAATGCATAATGCACCACATGCAAATAAGGAGAAATTTGGCTTAAAATTAGTAACACAACAACCTTTAATTTGGTGTAAATTTAAGTCAAGATCTCAAGATTCAAGTCAGATTTGTGATCTGGATTTAAATTTGTGCCAAACTCAAGGCTGTTGTGTTACTAATTTTATGCTTCACTTGCATGTTTCTCTTCTGGTTTCAGAAATTTAGTTCCTCTTTAATACTGCAGGAGTGAAGAATTTGTCTTTGTAAGATCAGCTAAGTGCATCTTCAAAATGCATATTTTTTACTCTTTACCATTTCTAATGTAAGGTAATACTTACTTTTTTCCTTAATCATTGGAAACAGGTTATACACATATTTGATGCTGTTGAAAAATTTTACAATGATGGAATATCTGTGAGGAAACAACTACTTAAGCAGCTGGCTGAAGAAAAACAATTAATTGATTATGAAGACGAAAATTTGAAAATAATGGTACTTTTTATTTGTTTGATTTGTACGCTTGAATTATTTGAAATTATATTCATTAATTGTCCAGTTGATCCTTTGAGAAATGGGAATGGTGGTAGCAATAACTACCCCACATAATCATAAACCTGTATATAATTTTTTGATGCTTTAAAAACTTAAATGCAAGTAACTTGTTGTTAGCTAAATGCTTCACTGATAACTATAGGGCATTCCTCTCCTCTTTCCACCTCAAAGTAAGGCACTATGAGTTCGTATGCTCGCCAAATCAAACCCAGGAGTTCAACCCCTGTCCTCGAACCTTGGAGGGATTGGCACCAATGCACCTGGTGTAACATAGACCCCAGGGTGTCACTAGGTATAAATTTACTACCTACTAGTCACATGGGTTACCTGTCGCCCAAGAACATTACCTGGGCACTACCCTCAGGCAGAACTGAGGATGCCATTGCCCCCCCCCAGAGTGTGATAGTAGATTAATGCATATTTTTGTTATATATGTATGAGGGCATTTCGAAAATTAAAGATAAACCATATGCCAGAGGAAAAGAAAAGTTTTGGTGAGCAAGTTGGCAACACAGGTGTTAACCTTGAACCGTTAGCTTTCTCCTCGCCGTCATTCGGCATTTCAACGTTGATTCTGGTTGGAGTAGGTCGTGTTTAAAATGGCTGCGCCGATTCAGAATCCCGCCAAATGCAAAGTGCGTTCCGTCCTATGTTTTCTTCATGCAAAAGGTCAGCGACCAGCGGATATTCACAAAGAAATTGTTTCTGTTTATGGGAACATTATGAATCGACAAAATGTAACGAAATGGTGTCGTCATTTCGCTGAAGATAGGACCGATGTTCATGACGAACAAAGAACAGGTGGCCATCTGTGATCTCTGATGCCTTTCTTCAGAGAATAGAGGAAGCAATTTGTGTGAATAGACGTCTCAAATTGAAAGAACTGCCTCAGATCATACCGGAAGTGTCAATGACAACTCTTTATGAAGTTGTGACTGTCAAGTTAGGGTCAGGAAATTGTGTGCGCGCTGGGTTCCAACAGGCGGCAACCTTCTATTACTGTGGGATACAAAAGCTTGTGCACCGACTTAACAAATGTTTGGATAACAGGGATGATTATGTCGAAAAATAATAAATAATCCAGTTAATAAGATGTAACTGACGTTTTCTAAATAAATGTTTTTTTTTTTTTTTTTTTTTTAAGGAATGCGAGCTATTGTATCTTTACTTTTCAAAATGCCCTCGTATTATACAGTGTATTTTTACTACATGTTCATTTAAAGAAAAGGAATTTAATAGCTAAGTCTTAAGAATGAGAAAATCCATTAGTGTAAAGATTTAGAAAAAAAGGTGAATCAGAGGCCGATGATAATTAAGTAGAGGCTTTATTAAATGATGGAATTAATCACGCACATGGAACAGCGCATTTCTATATATCACACAAAAACCAAACTAAAACGACTGTTGCCAATACAACCTAAGCAAAATATAAATAGTTACGGTTAAATATACATATAACATCAAATCATAAACCAGGGAGTAAGTGTGATTATTCTCAACAATTAGATAGTACTATAACATACTTATGCCATCTGTTTACCAGATGAATCATTTGATTGTCAGTAATTTCCTCAATACTGTGTTCTTCTGCAATAGATCATAAACGTTGCATTAATTGTTATGAGTTACTAATATTACAAATAAAAACATAAGGTGAAAAGTTTAATGTAATTTACAGTTATTAAATTTCATCACTTGAAATAAATTGGGAGCAGTAAGACTACCAGAAATCTAACTGAACTGATGCAATTTCTTCTTTGATCTCTATTAATTGATGAGCTGTGATAAAGTTTTATGTCATATAGCATTACAGTCATATACATAACAGAATACTGGAAATGCAATGGTATTAAAAATAGTCTGCAGCATATAGTATTAAGTAATTCATTTTTTTCTCCAATATCAGGATTTTTCATGATTGCAATTCCAATATGATAAGTGTCATTCCATAACATGCCTTTCATGTTATTTCAATTTTTAGTATTCCATTAAGCTTAATGAGTAGTAATTGAGAACTGCAAGCAGAGTCGTAGCTAGGGTTTTCAGCGCCCAGGGACAGCTGAAGATTTCGTGCCCCCTACTGCTTGCCAAGGATGGAAAACATTTAATTCTAAAATGTCATAACATCAGTTTGGCGCCTCTTGGATTCCGTGCCTGGGGACAGATGCCCCCTCTTGCCCCCCTCTAGCTACGCCCCTGACTGCAAGTGATCACTTGCAGTTCTCAATTACTACTCATTATTGTGATGCCCAAATCAAATTATTTTAGTAATTATTTATGTTTTTGTCACTGTGAATGCCATGTGAATTAATTGGTGAACTGCTTGTCTACTTGAAGTGTGGTAATACTGAGTCATGTTTTAAATAAAACCTTACAGAACTTAAGCTTTCCATAGTATTAGGAATGGGAGGTGAAGCATTAAGAGAAAATGATAACTATAGCACAATATGTATTGCATACTGTGATTACTACAGCAATTACATATATTTATTACTAGGCAATTCTTTACACAGTTATGTTTATCTTACTGTTTGCTTAAATATGTCACTATGAATGATACCATTGTGAAGCTTACAAATGCTTGTGTGTCAGTGGTGTATCTAGAATTTAGTGTTGGGGCAGGAGAGCAATCACCATCATTATGTCAAAATACAGAGGGTGTTTACACATTTTTCTAAAGATTTTGATTTTCTCCTTAAATTTAAATATTAATTTTAAAATACAAATATGACTGGCATCAAATTTGAATAAGGTTTAATTATCGTCTGCAGCATTAACAATATTCTTTTTTTTTTAATGTTACTGAAATAAAAATATATCTTATTAAATCTTATCATACAATATCTTATTAAATTTAAAGTTGTATCTCATGTTTTAAAGAAAAATTCAGCCCCCAAAGAGCTATTGCAAAATCTTTAAATATCTCTGTAGGAACTGTGAATGAAATTATAAAATCTGATTTAAAGTTAATCAAAACAAAAAACAAAAGGATTTTCATCATCTAATGCTGAAACATATTTCTCCGTGTGAGACGAGACTCTGTGCAGATTGCTGTATGAAAATTATTTGGCAGGTGAAAAATGGAAATATATAGTTACAATTGATGAGGCTAGGATATACTTATCTGATTGCAATAGAAAAAGGTCGATTTATTACCAAAATAGAGGATAAAAAGACTTAATATGTTGGTTCAGAGAAAACGAGAGAAGTTTTTCTAAAGGTTTTATGGTTATTACTGGATTCTCTTATAACGGAAAACTTAAAGTACGGAAATCTCAAAATTAATTTGAATTATTATCAGAAGTACATTTCAACACCTATTTTTAAAGAAGAAATTCCATCTCTTTATCCAAACAATCTTCACTGTGTCCATCGGTATAAGGCTCCATACCTCTAAATCTACTGCTGTATTTTTTGAAAAAATAAGAAATGAAACCGGAATTGAAGCTATTCCCTTTAAACCATCCCACCCAGGTCTCCTGAGATGTCTCCTACAGATTACTGTGCATTTGGACTTCTAAAACAAGCTCATTATAAGTGGTATCCCAAAACATTGGATGGACTCTGGAAGATTGTGAAGGAGGAGTGGCAAAACATCAACCTTGATGTTTTAAGAAAAGGACATTTATCTTGGAAATCAAGATGTAATATGATAGTTTAATAAAATAGCTATCAGACTGAATATATAAGAAAATAAAATTCTAAGGTTTGTTTGTATATAAATATTTGCAAAATCATTACAAAAATGTGGGAACATCCTCTATAATTTTGCTTGGTAATAACTGATTTGACTCTAACCAAAATTCTAAAAACTGCAAGTTAGTGAAGTCTGTAGAGCACCTAAGAAAGGAATATTTATTTCAGAAAACTTTTACATTAAATTACATTAAATACTAAGTTGTACTATTGTTATATTAATAAAAATATTTTTAGGTATCAAACTTATTCATACGATGCAAAAACCTTTGTGAATTAGCTGTTCAATGCCGAAAAAATGAGACAAATTCCTTGAAAGATAAGACTGAAATACTTAAAAGGAGTTTTGAATGGAATGATCATGTGAAAGTAATTTTTTTATATGTATTAAATGTATTAGATGCTGTATTTTAATTGAATACGTTCGAAATGTTTTCACTCTGAAATATATTTTTATGAGCAAATAATAATTAAGTTATTTTAATGATTATTTTTATGCTTCTAATGCTGTTTGATTTATGTCTAAGTATTGTTTGATACTTAAACAGCAATTACTTAACCATTTGAGAAGAATTTATGATATTTTATGTTATTTTCTTTCAGATTATCAAATCTGTAAATAAATTTGTAAATCAATGACTGTACATGATATTGATTTTATGGTTTCCTCAGTATTGCCAGTGTAATTTCATGCAGGATAATGATGATAGAATATTTCCATTAGGAACCTATCTAATATTTTACATTTGTTAATAAATGTTTAGTTGAATTCTTTATGACTGAACTATTAATAATTATGAATTATATAATAAATAAAAATATATTTATCCTTCTAAATGTTTAAATTGTTTTTATATTCATTTTGATATTGAAAGAGATAGACAGTGTATGCCTTCTCTGGTGTAGTGACTTGCAGCTCACAACGTGCAGAACAAGGTGCAAAAATTATCAATGAATACAGTTTGTAGTTGAAAAAATAATTTTCTATTACTTTGAAAATGAAGATTTTGTTCAAATTTTTAATAATTGGACTTGTTGTTCTTAAAAAAGTGTTTTGTTCTTAAAAAAATATTTGTCATATATTTTAAACATTAATTTTTCATACTGATACTAACAGTTATCAGATGGTGAATTACAATACAATTTACAATTGAAATAAAATCCTATCACATGTTATTATTCCAAAAGACAAAGTAAAAAAAATCGTATTATAAATAAAATACATTTTCAGGAAAATTATAGTGCTACATTATAATTTTGATATTTATAATAATTTATAGGTATTGAAATTATCAGAATAGTATTATCAGAATAATTTATTTACTAAATAATATTGATTATATTATCTCCTAAGATTAATTATAGTAGAATTATCTGAAAAGGGTAAATCCATACTTAGTTAAATTAAATCACGAATAACAAAATTTCAATTGCAAAAGGAATAAATTAAAAGCAAGTAATTAAATTAAATGCCAGTAAACATTGCCATTGATCGGAAATTAGTTGACTTTTCAAGGGGAACAAACCAACACCCGTTCAGTGAACAATAATTAAGAAATAAATACAAAGGTGTTTTGTCCTTTACTCGAGCAATAAAGTGATGCCAAACCAGCAATTCAAGCTAGGCCAAACATTTCCGTGAATAGAAGGGATTAAGAACCAATGCACTCATTCCGATTAAGCATTTTAGCTAATTCAATTTTGAGAGAAAAGCAATTTCTGAAGTAAAATAGATAACACTCGAGTAACTTTCCCCCGACACCCTCATGTTTATGCATTTTAGTTCAATATTATTTGTAAAAATTAAACATTGGAAATTATCTTTATGAAATAGAAATCAAACTAGTTAAAATAAACATTAGAAAATTGCAAAATATAAGAAAAATAATGCAATCTTTGTAAAAACAAATCAAAAAATAAAAAATAAAAATTTTTAAAAATATATAATAAGAAAAGTGAATGTACATGAATATATAAAGGCCAGAAAAAGCATTAATTAACTTATGTTCTTTCTAGTGGGGAGTGGGCAAAAGTGTTCTCTTAGCGTCTGACTCAGAAGGGTTGTGTTTCAAAAAATTCTTTAGCAGCAGCGGGGACTTTGAATTATATCAGTTGGTAAGACTTGTGTGAAGAAATTTATGGTAGTGGGAGGGACTAGGAATTCTCGAGGGACATATGCTGTGGAGCTCTTATTTGAGTGAAACCGTCTGTTAAATTTTTGGATTTTTTTTTAAATACTAGTGAATGGAAATTAATTAATTTCTGGCTAATTGTTGTGTCATAACGATTAAGATATTAAGAAAAAGAAAAAAGGAATTTTCACTGTCAAAGAGCTATTTGACAGACTAAAGATTATGAAATAGGCCCATTTTTTTTTTTAGTAACAGCATAAGTCTGAAGACAATTAGCTTTTTACATTATATACAGCTTAGTAATTACACTATGTACAAATCCTTCAACTGATAGTCATCCAACTTATACCGCCTTCTCAGATTTAGGAACAAATTATCATATCCCTATCAGTTAAAAGATTTAGAGTGAGTATTTAACGCCTGCTCTTTTAAGGCAATGGTTAATCAATTGATTGGATATTAGATTATTTTTGAGAATTTTAATAAGGAGCAAAATTTCGCGTTGTAGATCTATCGTATCTGTGCAGATATTTTTAATTTTTTGTATTTGATTTATTATAGTATTGTTAATTACTTTTTTGGATATGTTGCAATTCCAATTTATTAATTTGTTAGTATTGAAATTGAAGTTTCTTGTTTTGTCAAAAAGTAAAATTTTTTTTTGTAGTTAATGATTTGAAGATCTAGATAGTCTACGCTATTTTGTGAATTATTAGTTTTATTAAGTGTAAGACAATTGTATAATATATGCATAAATATATGAATTGTAAGAAAGTATTGAAAAGTCTTAACTTAAATAAAACCTGAGTTTAGTGAGATCACAAGTGGCAGTTAAAAATGAAATGAAGTACTTGAAGTTGAAATCTTGGAGCCATGTTTAAAAGTACAGGAGCTTTCACAAACGATCTGTCTACTTCATCAGCTGGAGTTGGAATGGATGGTTTCATCGTATTTTGTTGTTGTTGTTACTGCTGTTTTGTTTCCACAGAGTTGCTGTATTATGCAAATATTGTTACATCTAATTGGAATTATCTTACCATCAAGCATATTTTTAAAGACAAATTTCAGCTTTATCTGAATGACTATATTGATTCAGATCTGAAACACTTTTGACATGTATATTGAACATTCAAAGAAATTTCATGTCTGCATTATAATGTATCAGAAACGATTTGTTTGTTATATTAAGTTCCTGTTATCATTATGCAAAATTAGGCAGTTTTCTAAGTTCATTTCATCATACTCCTAGGGGGGGGGAAGGGAATGTTTCATTAAGATATGACAAAGCAACTTTGCACTATGGTAACATAATCACTGCTTTCCTTCCTACTCAATTTTTTATGATTAAACTGTCAACTGTGGCAGTATAGTTTGTCATGCAAGTATTTTTTTTTATTTATATTTACTTATGTATGTTTTTTATATTTTACTTTTTAAATACATAAATATAAATTTGAGTATATTACTTGGAGTAAATATTAAATACTTTTTATAATTTTTTTCCTTGTGAAGTTATCTGCAATTATTGCAAATTGTGAAAATTTGGTGGAAAGGGCTGTCGACAGAAGAACTAAGGAAATTCAGTCGCTTAGTTCATTTTTAAATGAAATAGAAGGAAATCAGGTAAGAAATTTGCTATCAAGTTATTTAAGTAGAAAAATATTTATGATAATGACTTCCAAATTTTTATGTTAAACTGAGTAATAATAATTGCACAACATGGGCATTTTATTTATGATGATTCATAATTTTATGCTTCAATGAGATACATTCTGGTGACATCGGAGGTCATATGATGTAAGAACTGCTAATGTAAACAAACAAGCTTGTGCCATGGTAGATGTGTTGAAAATTCGAAAACTTTAGTTATTTTTAATTAGTTATGAAATTTGCATTTCATCTTTAATTATTATTTCATCCATTAATTAACCGTTCATTCATTTGTTTAGTATAATTTTGGTAACTCAAATGTTATTGTTATCTTCATGACAATCTTTTGTTCGCTGCTTTACCATGTTTTGATTGTTAATATTTATTTATGAATTTTTTCCTTGATCTGATAATTAATTCATTTATAAAAAATGTAAAAATGAATACATAAAATCATGTTTACATAGAGTTCTCTTCTACACTGAAAAGAAAGTTACTATAAATATTTTTAAGTCATAATTTTATCAGCTTAACAAGCAGAACTGTAAATATAAATAGTTGGTTTCTGAAAATCATAATAGTCAAATTTCCATAGCACTCTAAATGAAGTTGGCCCTTAAATCATGTAAGAATAATGATGCCAATGTTCTGCGCTGTTCAAAATTAATGTATAATTTTATACAACTTAAAATTTAATTTTTAGCAACTGAATATAACCCTATTGATAGTATAATCTGAAAATTAACACATTTTGTATACTATAATATAAATGTTCAAAAGAAAAATATAGAGATTTGTGCAACTGAGTTCACTGCAGTACTAGCTGTGAAACTAATAATTTTTCATAACACATTTTTCTTCATTTTATAATAATAAATAATAATAAAGTAGTACTATCTGTATACAATTTAAGTATTCAAAAAATAAATTTGAAATTATATTTAATCTTGTAAGTTACATAATTTATGTGCAGAATTTTTTATTTTAAAATCATGTAGCTCAAAAAGATTTTCAAGTGTATTTATTGAAAAGATCTACCATAGGAAATAGACTAGTGTAATTCTAATGCATATACTTAAGGAACATGTTATCTCAAACTATGACTGACACAACCACTGATTTTCAAGGACTGATATCTGCTAATTTATATTTAAACTAAAAAACTCACAATCTCCGTGAAATTTAGAATTAAGTATAAATTCTTATAAAAGCATCCTTTTATATTAAAATATTTCAGTATTACTGATGCTTCTAATATTACAGTTGTTGGTATTCTTAATATCTACAATGGAAGGTATTAAAAAAATTAACATTCCGATATTTATGTTTATTCATTAAAAACCGATTACAACAGCTAAAATTCAGAAGTCAAACAACAAAAATCAATGTTATATTTACAAAATTTTCACAGGACTAGTTTCGATGGTTTTACCAAACCACCATCCTCAGCTGCAAAACCGCAAATGAACAAGATAGGAAATAATGATTAGATAAGATAAGAAAGCCTGGGCAAGAATAAATTGTTGTTTGACTTCTGAATTAGTATTTATTCAGCGTGTTATTGTGTCTTAACAGCTAAAATGTTAAAACATATCCTGATGAAATTAATAAAATTTTAGCAGCATAAAATATTCTATGACACTAATTAATATTAATGAGAGAAAATTGGCTATGTTCTTGCAGATAAACAGATCTTTCCCAAATTCGGCTATTTCAGTAATTTAGAACAACTATTCATGAACTATGAATATACTATTATTACACATACATTTGGAAAACGTTATTTAAGGTCTTGGGAATAGTTTTCAATTAACTGATATACACTTAATATTCTTAATAAAAACATTATTAATACTGGTAAGCATCACGCATAAGAAAGATTTATAAATTTTACCTTGTTTTCTGCAGAAATTTGCACAGATGTTTCATAATTAATTGTTTTTTTTTATTTCGGCCTTAAAACAGCTTGTTATAGGTCCAGTGATATCCGTCATTACTTTGAAACCAGTATTGTTCACCTGTTTTTCCTTGAATAACAAAAGACCCTTCTTGTTGACATCAAAGAAAGAGAAATCATTTCCAAGCATATTTTTTAATTTCTCGCAATAGCCATAAATTTTTAAATTCGAAAAATCGATTAATTTCAGCGGAATATCTGCTATCAACTCCATTGTAAACATAGCACATGCGGATGTTGTTGTTCTTAAACCACGTGGCCACATTTTTCATCTTCTTCTCTTGTGGAATGTATCTCATTATTTATCATTTGTGTTGTGTTGTGTGTGTAAACTAAATGTTTAATGTCTCTTTAATATTGCTACTGTCAAAAAGTATAATCATAATATAATGGATTATGTATATTATACACTGTATATATATACCTGGCATAGAAAATGCAACACCATGAAAGATCAGGTAGAATGTGATATCAATTGATACAAACACAGCATTCCATATGTAAATAAGTGTTGTTATTTATGGAAAGATATATTACAGTGCTGAAATAAACAAGGAGTCAGTAAGATATATGACCACCTCTCATGGCGATGCAAACTGTGACTCTATGAGGCACCAATGCAATTAATGTATGGGGAGTATCCTGAGGAATGGAAATCCAAATGCTCTAAACCCTCCTCCAAAGTTTGCTGTCCAATAATGGCTGGGGCAGAGAAAGACAAATGAGGACAGTTATGTCCCACATATGCTCGATTAGTGAAAGATTGGGGGATATCACAAGCCAAGGAAATAATGAGACTTGCTGCAAAGCTTGTTGGTTATTGAATGCTGTGTGCAGTGTGACATTGTCCTACTGGGAAATATCATTTAGCAGCCACAAAAGGTCCACAGCCAGCTGCAGTACCTCCCATCAATGTGCCTCTACATAAATGAGGTGCCTTGCTAGCATGACTGAAGGCACCCCAAACCAATTTGCCATGCTGACGAGCGGTATGGTATTCAGATATAGTACAGTCAAAAGTCTTTAATCCGCGCTCGTCAGGACTTCTGCGATTCCGGATTATTGGTTTTTCTGGATTATAGATCATCAATTTTAAATCTGGTAAGATGGCATGCAGAAATTATAAAATTAAAAATATGAAACCATAATTTATGAAATAAAGAGCAATTATGATCTAAAGGGTATCAAAATTTACCAAAAAAAACTTAATATTTACTTAATATTTATTTGTTTACTTTATTAAACATTTCTTTCAATGCGCGCATGCGTAAAGCTTACATTACGCATAGTCGAAATTAGAAAATTGCAACCAGAAAACTGTTTGATAGGTATTCGTGATATGATTATGAGGAATTTGATTTAAAACATATCAAAGATAGAGTAGATAGAGATGAAATACTACATTTAGTAAGGAATTATAAGCCGAGTAAAATAAAAACATCTGCCCTGAAGATAAGGATAGTGCTGGCAGATCAACTTCGAGTTCATTGCGTGCCGCGACGTCCCCCCCCCGGCGCAGAGCAGCATGAAATTGATAAACAGATTTCGGAATGGTTAGAGAAACAAAGGAGCCTTTATCCACTTTTTGCAGCAATTCCTTTTTTTGTTTGATGGACATCGAAACATGCTTTCTCTTTGTAGATCCAGCTTCGGAAATTCTATTTGACATAACTGAAAGTTTCAACTTACTTTTATAACATTGCTCTAACAGTCTGCAAAAAATAATAAGCCGGATCCAATTCGAAGATTAAGGAACAACGCAATCTGCAACATTAACTGAAATATATAATTAGATAATTTTAGCTTAGCTTATACCATCTGTCATACATTAAACGTGCATGTGTAAACATATTATGTGCATGTGTAAAGGTATTATGTGCATGCGTTGACACATGCGCAGGAAGTTTGTAGCTTTGAGGTCCAGATTATAGACCATTCCAGATTAAAGACTTTTGAATGTAATCATTTTCAACCAAACATTAGGAAACTGTTGTCCCAGATAGTGGAGCATCTAAAACTCTCTGCACATTCCACAAAATGTTCATATTAATCGACTGTGGGACCACCACTGCTTTTCTTCATTTGTATCAATCTGTGCATTCTGTAGTGTGCCTAGATGGACCTGGTCTTTTATGACTATTTACTTGTCCTTCGTCAATCCATCTAGACCAAATTCTGTGCATGTTGGATACATGTGCATGTATTTCAGCAGTGATATAATGGTAAGACCAACGAGTTATAATTAAGCTTATAGTTTCCCACACGTAAAATCTATTTGCTGGAACTGATTGCAGTATCATCATCCAGTCAGTTCTTCATTCACATGTGTCTTTTGGAATCTTGAACTTAAAGTAGTGACTATTGGTTTGTCTGCCATTTCCTTCCCTTTAAAAGAAAATTTTTTTTTTTGGGGGGGGGAAGAGATTTGGAAGCATTTTTTTTTTTTTTTAATTTTAAATCTATATATATTGGAGAATTGAAAAATGCACATTTCTTTCTGGAAAATATTTTTTATATACATTTTTATCATGAGAAACTGTTGCCAGAAAAACCAGTTTCAGATGTTATCACCAAAAAAAAATCTTTTTAAAAATAAATTTCAGTCAAATTACAGTTAATTTCTAATTTGCATAATATAAAAGAGTAAAATGTATAAAATTTAAGAAAATATAAAGTGCTGAGGGAAAAATACCTTAGAAATGCAGTTTAGCATGCAGTTAGCATGATAGAGTTCAAAACAGGGTTCAAGGCAAAGTCCAACTTCACGGTCTTTGCACCAGATTCAATAAATCTAATTATTAATCTATCCAATAAATCTAATTAATAATTTAATTAAATAATTAAGATAATTGCTGAACGTTTTCTAGCAGCCATTTCTGTAAGAAAAAAGCGGCAAAAAGTGAAGTTTGAGCACTAATACTACATGCATTCAAATGCCCCAATTTAGTGGACAACTAATGATATCTGTAAGCCAAAACGTAAACTAAACGCATATTACTGTTACTTACTATTTTTCTCCAGTGGTTAAACGGGGGGGGGATGCGATTCTCAATAAAAGAAAAACATATGCCTGCTGAAACCACGGGATGAGCAAATTTTGCTACATTTGAGTTGCCCGTGGAAATCGCGGGATGATCAGCCAGAGGGTTAAGAGTTATACAAAACCAAAATGGAAACTTCCAGCGATGCAAAATTGTAAACAAGAATGCAGATGATTCTCATAAAAATCCAGCAAGTTGCCTCTTGACACAGAGAAAAACTGTGTTATTAACGACTACAATAGCATATATTTGTAATTCAAAAGGAAAGAGAATTCCAGTTCGTGCTATTATTGATAACAGCAGCATATATCTCACTTTCAAATGTCGCTAAATACACCTGCAAAAGTAGTTAAAAAGTAATAGCTAAAATTAAAAAAAAAGTATAATCCATATTTCATAATAGGTTTTCTTACTCATTTTTTAAACTGAATCTTCATAAAAATATAAATAATGTCCCAATTTTTCTGATAACCATCAAAAAGTTTTCATGGACCACCAGTTGCCTACCGCTGATTTGAAATATTGTCACTGATTATTTATTTTGCCATTACTTGTATTAGGTAAAACCTTTAGAGACTTAGTTTTGTGTCTGTGTAATAGATTTATAAGTAATTATTTATAATATGGAAATTTATTAAGTTGTATTTATTAAGTGTTGAAAGTAATAACTAAATTTCTGTAAATCTTTCAAAAAGTCAGATATTCTTTTAAATTGAAAACTTTAAGGTGCTTAATATTTTAGCCTTAAATCACTTAAGATAAATATATTGTACAATTACAGTTTTATTTACAGTAAATGAATCATTAACACTAAAAAAATTAGTGTAAATGTTTTTATTTATTTCATAGAGAAATTTTAAAATATGTTAATACTGTAGGCACTGCTTTTTCTAAAATTTTTCTAGAAAAATTTAATAGGAACTAAGATTTGATGCCATTTAAAACTAAAATTTAATTCCATTTCTAAGGTTTGCAGAACTTAGTTTCCAGTATCTATAAGCTGCATCATCATGTTTTTCTCAAATATTCAGTTTGATATTTTTAATTACTAATAATTTGTGAACTTTTGCAAAAATTATCAGAGCTATTTTTTACATGTATATTCTAATATAATGATAGTAAATCTCATTGGTATCTTTTATTGGTATTTTAAGTTTTCTTGCATCTTTTCAAATGGTTTGCAGCATAATTTAGCTTTATCTTCTTCTAAAGTAATTAGTGTTGCTGATGTGACTTATTACCAGATTGATTTGAGCAAATGAATCCCATCATCTGGCCCTATGAAGTTAAATTTTACTGAAAGTGTTATACAAATGGTTGAATTATTAAGATAAATTCTATCTTTACGATGTTCGCATGTTAATTGAGTCTTTTTTTTTTTTTTTTTTTTTTTTTTTTTTTTGTGTGTGTGTGTGTGTGTGTGTGTGTGTGTGTATCTATGATTGCCTAACATCTGTTTGCAGCTGTCTGCAAGTTTAACCTATAGGGAAACTTAAAAGAAAAGTGAAACTGTCATTGAGTTCAGTAGTTCATGTACTCATCAATGACATCTTTAAACTCAGTTGGTGTTATTAATATTTAATAAAGGAGAACTCCTTTTTTTAATATTTATGCAATTTAAACTATTAGTAAGTGCAAAATAATATGAATGCTTTAGTTGTATGGATGTTTAAGACATTAATGTAAGTTAGTTAACTTATGTTAGAAACATCTCCAAATTTTTAGGATGATGAAATAATCGATTTTCAATTTAAATTTACTAAATGTTTTCCGAAATAAAAAGGTAAACTCATTTTTATATCTGAGGTAAATGTAAAAAGGATTGTAAAGTTTGTTTTGTTGCATTGTCAGTGATATTTTTACTAGTAGCTTCTTAGGAAATCTTTACTCCAAATTTATTTCTTTCAAATTTATTTTCTTTCTGTAATCTACAAAAGATGGTACTTAGTTATGACTTTTTTTGCAGTATACCATGGCATTACGTAATCTTCTTGAGATCTGTTAAAAAAGAAATGTATTTGTCTATTTTGCTAATTATTTTAGCTTAAGATCTTTCCAATACTTCAATGCAACAATCAGGTAATTATTGTAATAAAAAAAAAATATGCTATGTATTTTTATTCAGAATTGGGGATTTAAAGAATTTTGAATTCTTTCAACTATTTTGGAATCGAACCTTTAAGATATGAATTGTTGCAGTTGCATGTTTTTATAAAGTTATTTGCACTGTGTTCAATTTTGTTACTGTTATTGCTTTCTTTAGAATTCTTTCAGTGATTTAAAATTGCATAAAGTTTTTAATCTTGTTGATGTAGAGCTTAAATCTGTATTCAACATTAAAAAAAAATTTTTTTTTTGCTTGATTTTTAATTTCTTCTTCACTTTACAATTACAGTCAAAAGTCGTTAATCCGGACTCGTCGGGACTTCGGCGATTCCGGATTATAGAACATCAGTTTAAATCTGATAAGATGGCATGCAGAAATTATAAAATTAAAAATATGAAACTTTAATTTATGAAGTAAAGAACAATTATGATCTAAAGGGTATCAAAATTTACAAAAAAAAAAAAAAAAAGCTTAATATTTATTTGTTTACTTTATTAAACATTTCTTTCAATGTAAGTTGTTTAAGTTGCTTCGTTTTTTATGTGATAATACAATCTCTTAAATTCTATAAACAGACATAATTCTTGTTCAGTTACAAAGTTCCACTGTTCAAAGTCCTGTAATTGCTGTGTCGAAGAACACCGACTAACTTGCCAATCGAAATGTTTTCGTTTTCAATAACCTCTGTTACTTTCTTCGTTATCAGAAGTGAATTATAATGACGAGGAATTTGATTTAAATCATATCAAAGACAGAGTAAGTATTTAGTAAGGAATTATAAGCCAAACAAAATAAAAACATCTGCCCTGAAGATAAGGATAGTGCTGACAGATCAACTTCCAATTCATTGTGTGCCGCGCCACGGCGTTAAAGATAAACAAAGTTTACATAAATAAATGTTAAAGTTTAGATAAACAAAGGATATGCCTTTATCCATTTTTTGCAGCAATTCTACTTTTTGTTTAATGGACTTCGAAACATACTTTCACTTTGTAGATCCTTTACATATTAGTAAATATATATCAGAAATTCTATTTTACATAATTGAAAGTTCAAGCTTACTTTTATAAAATTGCTGTAACAGTCTGCAAAAAATAATAAGCCGAATCCAATTTGAAGATTAAGGAACAATGCAATCTGCAACAAACTGAATTAGATAATTTTAGCTTAGCTTATACCGTCCGTTATACATTAAACGCGCATTCGTAAACGTATTTTGCGCACGCGCACATGCATATTCGCAGCCGTAAAGGTCTTGCGTAAAAGCCGTAAAAGTCTTGCGTCAATGCGACGCATGCGCAGAAAGTTTGTAGCTTTGAGGTCTGGATTATAGATCATTCCGGATTATGGGTGTCCGAATTAACGACTTTTGACTGTATTTCATAATTGTCATTTAATGTTATGTGTTAAGTTTTTCTTCATATTTTTGCATACTTTTTATCATTAGCCGACGCAAGTACATTCTGCTTGTAAACAATACTTTCTATCTGCTATTGAAAAGAGAAAAATTGAAATAAATGATATTGAGCTGGTATTAGAACCACTTGAAGAAATTGATACTGATGTTAGCACAGAGGTAAAATTATCTTCTTTCGTAATTTTATTTACATTTTCTAACACTTTCTTTTTTTTAAATAAAAGCAGAGAATGGCAGAAGTATAGGTGTTTTTTATATATGTATTTGACTATTTTTTCTCCTTAAATACTGTAAGCAATTTTTTTTGTAAATGTTCATAGGAATTTACACAAGATAGTGAATCATCAAATGCTAGGAAGGCTAATATAAGCAAAAAACTTTTATATATGTGTAAAAATAATAACAGATTTATATATAGTATATAACACAGTAAATATGTTCTAACAATTTCTTGCCTCCAAGTGTTAATGGCAGAAAGTACATTTCGATACGTCATTATTAATGCATACCACAGATTCATGTGAAAGTAGGTTTGATTTTAGTTCTGGACAATTGCATGAGGAATGAATGTTGACTAGTAATGCATACTACAAAATTTAAAATGTCATTTCTATAGATTTGTCGTTCATCTATTAAGAGTACATCTGTGATAATGCAGATTTTTCTAACCTTTCCCTTAACATCTGATGTATAAGTGTTACTTGCACTGGATAATCGGCCTATGCTGATATCTGTACACCAAGCAGAAAAAAATAAGACAATTCTCTGCCTTCTGTTCTAGTTGGCCAATCACCAAAATTTAATTTGTATTTTCTTCCTTCAAGAACATGACTTGGGATTATGTACAACATTTCTTTCACGCATATGCTTTTATCACAAAATTAAACTTTTCTGAAACGACAGGTTGATTTTTTCATAGTTTGATTCTAGCTTCAAATTATTTGTACTAAATTTTCTAAAAATCCTGCTACCTTTTTGTGATTATTCATATTTAAAATTTGTGTTCTAATTGTCAGCTCAGTACAAAAAGAATTTAACTTAATGAACATCTAATTTTTGTTAACACTGGCTTTTTTTTTTTAAATCTTCAGTGAAGTTTGACATGAAGAATTCATTAGAAATTTAAGGTTTAGCTTATTAATTATGCAATTTAGTTATAAAATTTTTTCTGCTTTCAAAAATACTTTTTTTATCTTTGTATTTAAAAAATGGTTGAGATCTTTGGTAAATATATATATATATATGTATATGTATGATTTGGATTCTGAAGATAAAGATTTTTTTCTTTATCTTCAGTTGCTGATTGATTTTGCTCATCTTTACTGATGGGCAAAATCAATGGGGTGAACAAATGTGAAACAAAGGGCACAGAATAATACAGTGAAATCACCTGGAGTGATAGGTATAGCAAAATGTATAAAAACTGTATTAAATTCTTAGAACTAATTTCTTGCAGTGGAATTATTGGATGTACTTCTTACTAATATAAATTCATTTCTTTAATTAGAGAAAACTTTAATCCAGAAAGAGACGTACGAATTACTAATTTATTCAAAATTAGAATTTTCATTGGTTTACTACTGTTTGTGAGTCTATTACATAATAATAAACAAATTTTAGAAGAATTATAATCTACCAAGGAATAGGGTAAACATGTGTCAAGTAGAAATGTCTGTATAATGTTTTAAATTTTTCCTTCAATGCTGATGCATTTTTGCTTCAGTGTAATAAAGCGGCAAGAAATGAGCAGGGGAAAAAATAGACAAACTGGGCACCTGTAAAAGATTTTGGGTTCAGATCAATTGATCTAATAGAAAATTCAAAATGTAGAAACTATTTTTAAAAAAGGGAAACCTAATTGCTCTGCTCTGTACGAAAAGGACATAAAGTTTGTTAAAGACTCTTCAGTTTTTTGAAACTTGGAGTCTGGTATCTTATATTCAAAAATACCTTAAATCAGGTATGCACACAAAGAACTCCATTGATATTGAAACCGGAAAGAAAATTTAAAAAAAAAAAAAAAAAAAAAAAAAAAAAAAACCTAAATTAATTACATTTATAACAATATGGAGATTGGAGTCAATGATCTCGATAAAATGTGTGGAATTTGTGCCCATAATACCAGAAGATAGCCAATGGTCATATTTTATTCTATGATGAATATTTCAGAAATAGTGCCGTTTTTTAAGCAATCAAAAAAAATTTTTTAAAGAGTATTTGAGAGAATTAATAAAAAAAACTGTCAAATGAGGAAATAACTTAATGCCTCATAAAAACTAATTTATGTAAGGATTTGCAGAGGAAGCTGAACAGTTGCAATCTCAAGAAAATTAAAATGATATATATATATATATATAAATTAATGTTTCTTCATGCTACACAGTCAAAACCAGCAGAGTGGTGTAATATTTTTGCTTGAAACATGCCATTATGATGTGTGGAATATATTCTAAAGATCTCAGAATAGAATATGATTCTGACAGATAAATGAGTACATTTTTCGTTTTTATAATATTGTCTCAGACTATTTTGTTTGTGTGTATGTTTATTTTTTTTTTTTTCTTTTTTGTATTTGTATTCTTTTATTTTGTATTTTGTAATTTACGCTGTGTGAATCCAAAAGGGGGAAAAAAGGCAAGGAAAGTCCAGGTACAGGAAAGGTGGACCCTGGAACTAAAAAGTATTTCTTTTTAAAATTATATGAAATAGTTTATATCATTAAAATGCAAACTTCATCTCTCAGATGTAATGCCTCCGATGGAGTATTAGAAAAGTAAATAGCTGAATAGCTGCTGCAACATCTGTTTTTCTAGCTGCCAAATATTTAACCTTTTTTCATGTTACATACCATTTTATCAAACCATTGCTTTCCTCTCCATCTGTCAGTAAATTATTGTTTACCCTACTCTGTAGATGTATAATTGGCTTTCAGAAATAAATATTATAATTTAGGTATCACTATATTGTGTTACTGTATATTATAATAAATAGCTGTTTTAATTAAATATTTTCTTCGATCCAATGTAGTTTTTAACTTCAGTTTTAACTTGAAATGTCATAGGAGTAATATTTGTTATGAATGGCACGTTTATAAGTTTATTTGCGGAAATAAATATTTTTTTCTATTTTTTTAAAAATTCTTTTTTCTTTCTTTCCTTCCCTCCCCCCCCTTTCCCCCTTTCTACTGATTTAGATGCATACTTCATGTATAAGGGTAATTCAGAAAGAAACCATCATTGTGGCTTGGTGGTAGTAGTACTTACCTTAGTGTTTGCTATATCATGCAGTCTGATTAGCATCTTCCTTTAGCAAATGCTTAATGTTTTGTGTAATTGCAGAATTTTTTTTTTTTTTTTTTTTTTGGAAGGATGATAACCTGGCTATTGCTGCCCATGTTTGAAATCAGTATATTTGGGTGGATTTCTCCATGCGTTTTCTTAATATATTATCAAAATATTATTATTATTGATCATTTCTTGTTCATATACAGAAAGCATATGGAAAGCTTTGATGAAGGTCATCAATAACAAAAAAATGTTAAGAGTTTAAACCCATAATTATTTAAGCCATGTATTCAATAAGTACAAACACAATCTTTTCCATAGTTTTCATCATATAGGCCTCAGTTCCTTTCATTATTATAAAAGTAAATACAAATTTTAGTTCAGGTTGGTTATAACATAACTTCTTGCAGTTTATAAAAAATCAAAAAGATATTTTCGAAATTCATCATAGCATTTACCTGTGCCTCGGTACTTATTGCATAAATTGTGTGTTGCATAGAACTGAATTAAATCTAAATTCAATATTGTTTTTAACTTATGTCAAGTGACTAGATGCATATGTGTTTAATCTCCTGCAATAGAATTTCAAACTTTATTTAAAATACTTTTAAAAGGAAGACTAGCAGCAGATAGGAGTCTGGGAAACCTATCTGCTGCTGATACAACAAAGTCATGAAATTTATTCCACATATTACTGATAATGGTACAAATAAACGATAAACAAGACAAAACAAACGTTAGAAATGAGTACTTTCTGTATCTGTCACGCTGAGCGAGGAGAGCCTATACATGTCGTAGCACTGAATCATAGAGGTTCTAAATATAATCCTCGAGAATGGAATTCCATATGTCTTTGACTTGATGCCAAAATTCAGTTTTACTGTGTGCACCACCAGCTGCACAAGAATGTCGCCAACCGACGAAATCTCAGACATACTCAGTGGGCGACGTATTCAGGGAATAAGCAGGCTATGGAAGAAATTAAACCTGTTCTGTTCTAAGGAAGGTTTGTGCAGTCTGAGAAACGTGCATGGGCATTATCCTGCTGAAACCCAGACTGCAGTACCCGGAATGAGGAGGACCTCTGGCTGCACAACTTCCCTTATACAGCGATCACTGTTTGATTGCCTGCAGTCTACACTAGATGGGATCAACAATTATACCCAATAGCTCCCCATATCGTGATGCTAGGCATTTGTGGGATATGATGCTGGATGACAGACTGTGGGGTCAGACATTCCCCTCTGTAATATCTGACGCATACTCTTTCATTACTGTACTCCAGACTGTAGTGAGATTCATCCGAGAAAACATCTTGTTCCCACAGGGCATGCAATACACTGTGTTGCCATACCCACTGAAGTCAAAGGCATCCGTGATACAGTAACAAGGGAATCCTACATGAACTCTTGCACACAGTTCATATTGCAGCAGACAGCGATGAACTGTGAAGGTACACAACATAACACTTGCAGTTGTGCTAACACACCAGAGGATGCTGTATGATCAGTCACAATCATGCAGATGAGGTGTCTGACGCCCCATGCAGTTGTGCTGTTGAGTGCCCCAATGCCAGGATTTCACCTTGCTTGGGAAGGAACCTCTGTCCATTTCTTCCAAACGCACATCACTGTTGTGGCATTATGCTGTGTGTGGGGTGCATTATGCTGCATGCTCAATACAAAAGTATTTCTTACTGCCAGCAGTCACTTCCGCTGTAATGGATGACTAGAAGTCAATTTCTATGGCCACCTATTAAAAACAGGTCGAAAGTCACCTCATATATGTGCAGGCTATCATCAATGCAAAAGGGGGAACATCATCATATACATATGTGCCTCAAGACCTTCCAAGTGTATACCACTGGATGGCTGAATACTTTTGGTCTGATAGTGTACATCAGCAGTATTACATCAGTCTGTGATTCAGTATACTTCTAGCTGTCTTAATAAGACCATCACATTCCCTTGCATCTCCTGATTATGATGTCACAGTATGTGTGCTGCCATCAAAAATCACAACAGATTCAAAGTATGCTGAGTGACAAGACTTCTTTTGGGCAAAAATCTATCAGTGGTTCTGTAGGCATTCATCATGAACTGTGTGCAGCCCAAACATTATAAATGATACATGATTATATAAGATTTTTTAAGGAAGAAGCCATCATGATGAACTTAGAAATGGTAAACCTTCTATAATGAGTAATAGTTTAATTGAGAGCTCTGCCAGGTTTTATGCAGAAGGTGTTTTTAAGCATTAGGCCACTGAGATCAAAACTTCATGCTTTATATTCCTTTGAAATTAAATAATGGTTTATTTTCCAATCTAAAGCTGTATAAATGGTTTTACTGGTGTATTTTTAATTGATTTCTATATAATCTGATGCATATCCATGTAATATCTTTTATTCTTGCAAGAGATTAATTGGAGCATTTTGTAGTTGTCTTTTGCTATTGATGATGCTTTGAGTGATGTTTTGGCCGAAGGCATGGTGTTTTTAAATACTCGTGTTGAAAGAAGACAGTCAGAAGATGCCCAGATTAATGCTGAGGTTTGTTATTTATTTTCAATAGGCATAATTCACATTAATTTTAAATTCTGTATATATTTGATGTTAATATTTCTTTCTTATAATAAGTGTGTAGTTTTATTTCAGTATTTTATGTAATGTAATAATTTTTTACTAACCAAACTGTTCTTGAATTTTTCCCCCTCCTAAATTTCCAATATCTCCCCTTTGCTTATTTTCTCGAATTTCAGAAGGATTCATTTTTTAAATTGTTTCTTCCCTAACTAATATTTTGATTTTAGGCTATAGCCATGTGTACGGAATTTTACAGAACAGCTTGGGAAAATGTCGAGAACGAGATAACGGTTATGAAAGAAAATTTGAATATATTAGTTTCTTTTGAAGGGGATGTGATTGAACAAGTTTGTAAAACTTTTGCTTATTAGTTTTCTAATTTATTCTTTCTTATTTTTGTTTATGTTGTTATTTACTGTAATTAATAACAAATAAGTACATAAATAAATATTTATATTATTATGTATATAATTTCTATTACTCTAGCTAATGTCACATGTCACTTAAAATATTAATAATTTATTCGTATTTGAGGTGTTAGATGGGAATCTGAAGTTTTCAGATTGCTCTAAAAAGTTTTAAAGAAGGTCTAGATAGTAGACTATTTTAGTTACTGGGTGTCCAGATTTCAATTTCTAACTATTGTTAAGATGCCTTCAGATTACAGCTTACCAGTCTGTTCTTGGACTCACTCCTGCTAACACAACCTTATTTGTCTTTTTAACTTAATTATTAAGCATTGCTTTTTTCACACTTATGCCACATAAAATCCAACAGCAAAATCACAAAATTTTTAAAAGCAGTATATGTTTAGAATTCCTAATACAGTGTACTGCCATTAGTTCGATTTCAGTCTTTTCTCGGTTCATCATATTATTGTTCAGTTTTCTTAGTAAGATGACTTACATAACTTTGTCTATTTATAATTAACTTTTTATTAAACATTACTTTTTTCTCAGTTACGTCACATAAATATCAACACAAAATCTTTAGAAATCCTGAAAGTGTTAGCTGTTGCCACAAAGTGTTAAGTGTTTTTTTAGTTTGCTATAGTATTACTTTTTTTTAATATATAATATATGGCAGTAACATTTTGTTATAACATCCTTTTATTTTTGTTGCCATACTTTTTTTAATATGATCGCTATTTTATTTCTTTAAAAATAATATTGTCAATAATATTTGGTTGCAGCATCCTTTTATCTGAAAGGTGATATGGACAAAACAAAATTGAGGTGTGAGACTAATAATAACTCTGGTACTCTAAAAACATTTTTGGAAAAGCTCTGGATAATAGACTAACTGGGTGTACAGATTTTGAACAACTGTATATATACTGCATAAGTTATATATATATATATATATGTAATGTTTTCAGTTATTCCAACACATCGTGGGCGAATGGTGAGGCTATTCCATTACACGTTCTGGCAGATGGTTGACGAAGCTGGGATGATTGAAGTACGGAGAAAAATGACGACTCGGGACTTTTCACTTTTAACAGCAAGCATATCTTTATTTTAATTTATAGCAGATGACTTTTTCCAGATGAAGTTAATCAAATAACTTATTCAGTAATTGAACTATTAGATACGACTGACTTTAATACGTCATAACGTTCTAACAAAGAAAGAGGAGCATAGCGGAAGCGTTAGCAGGACGAAGGCCGAGAAGGCATCTGTCTAGGAGAACTTATGACGCAGCATTTATATGAAAGGTTATGTAACAGAGTAGCTTCTAGAAAAATGTAGAAAAACTTATGACGCAGCATTTATATGAGGAGGTTATGTAATAGGTGCGAATGTTCTAGAAGGTAATGGTCTAAGGGGAGATGCTGAATTGCAGAAAATTAATTAAAGGATGCTGGTTCGCAAAGAGCAAAGCCATCTTCTTTTTTTTTTTTTTTTTTTTTTTTTTTTCCATGATGATTTCAAATGCATAGATGAAAGCAGTGGACCTCCCAACAGCTTACGATACTGTGTAGATGACCGAGAAGACCGTAGTGGCTTGATTGGGAATTCCAGATGAATAGTTTTACCTTTTTTCATTTTATCCATTCGTATTAAACGATATGAGATTAGTTGAAATAAACTGCACTGAAGTTCCACGCCTGTAGGGTCGAAAATCGGCTGCGCCATATTATTGTAATGAAACTGTGGTTTGAAGGTGGCAGAGTGGAAAGCATGATGACGCAATTTAGCACAACATATCTTGAAAAATCACAATCTTTATTTTTTCCATGCATATCAAATAATCCTTTCTCAGACAAGATATTTCTTAATAATACTTTAATAGAATTTCTCCCATTTTGAAGTACGACGTCATCTTAAGCAAGTAAGCGGCAGCAGCATGGATAAAATGCGTCTTACCAGCAGGAGAGCTAACACGGAAAAAAAAGGCAAGGTTATAGTACTTTCATAGCAAGAAGGCTGAAGTTTCAGTTCACAGTTTTGGTTTAGAATTAATTTGATTGGACGAAAGGCATCTGCATTAAAACGTTACATAAGATAGAAAAGTCTGGAACCTGTGAGAAGAGATGAATTTAGGGGCAGATTACCAAATTTAGAATGTTAATTTTGAGGTCGTCAATTATTTTTTTGAAACTGCTATCATATTTTGTTATATCTTACACACACACACACACACACACACACACATATATATATATATATATAAAGGTAACAAGAGTTAATGTAAATAATGAAAGTAATGTAAAACTAAAAATTCAAAAAAGTGATGTGAAAAAACAAAGTAGTGAAATAACAACAGACTCAGAGAGTACGGAGGAAGGAAACCCTGAATTAATTAAATTGTTAAATAAATATAAGAATGTGTTTTTCATAAATAAATATGATGTAGGTAAGATTAACATTGAACCACAACGAATTAACTTGACTTCTGATTTGCCTGTCACTTTAAGACCTTATCGAACTTCCCCTAAGGAAGAAGAAAAAATTGGAAGACAAATTGATCAATTATTAAAAAATGTAATTATTAAAGAAAGTAATAGTTCTTATGCATCCCCAGTAACTTTAGTATTAAAATGTGATGAAGGTGAAAAAACCAGAATGTGTATTGATAAGTTGAATGCTTTAGCAAAGATCGATGATCATTCCCTGCCACAGATAGACTTTTTATTAGAAAAATTAAGTAATGCAAATGTTTTTTTCTACAAAAGATCTGAGATCAGGGTTTTGGCACATTCCTATTCACCCTGATAACACCGAAAAATTGACTTTTATTACAAATTTTGGACTGTATGAATGGCTAAGACTCCCTTTTGGCTTCAAAAATGCACTGGCTATCTTTAACAGAGTTATTAAACACATCCTCACTAAAAATAAAATCCAATTTGCTTGTAGTTATTTTGATGATATAATTGTGTACTCTTCTTCCAAAGAACAACATCTAAAGCATTTGCATGAATTATTTGAAATATTTTTTCAAGAAGATATTAAATTCAACCAGAGTAATTATGTGTCTTTGCCAAAGATAAAATCAATTTTCTAGGTTATGAAATTAGAAAAGTTAAAGTTACCCCAGATAACCAAAATATTGAAAGTATTAAACGTTTGAAATATCCAAGTAATGTAAAAGAACTACAAAGAGTGTTACGCAGTGTAAATGTTTATCATAGATTCATACTTAATTATGCTAAATTAAGATCTCCTCTAAATAAATTATTGAAAAAAGATGTACCATGGCTTTGGGATGATCAATGTCATACTGCTTTTGACGAACTGAAAAATCTTCTTATTTCAAAACCAGTCATACAATTGTATGATCTAAATAAACCTTGTCATGTTTTTTTTTTTTTTTTTTTTTTTTTTTTTTTTTTTTTTTTTTTTTTTTTAATGCATCACAGATTGCTGTGGGAGCTGTTTTGAAACAGCCAGATGAAAGTAATGTATTACACCAAGTTTCCTACCATTCTAGAGCTTTAAAAAATTATGAAAAAAATTATGCAATTACAGAACTTGAATGTTTAGCTATTGTTGATGCATTAGATAAATTTTATTACTATCTTCACGGTCAAAAATTTACAATCCATACCGATCATGCAGCCCTTGTTTGGCTTAAAAATGTTAAGAATTTAAGAGGCAGATTATTCCGTTGGTCACTCCGACTCAGTATGTTTGATTACGAAGTTAAATATCAAAAAGGCTCTACAAACGTTGAAGCTGATATGCTTTCTAGACAACCTGTTTCTCACCAGCTCCAACATTCTGTGTATTTACTTAATCGTGATGAAATTATATACAACAGCAAAAAAGTGACAATGTGTGTGATAAAAAATATGTAGAACTAAATGATTTGATGGTAATTAAGAAGAAAAAAAGGTTATAAAATTGTGGTACCAAAATCCTTAAGATTAAAATTATTAACTGAAACTCATGAAAAATTCGACACACCCAGGTATTCATGCTATGTTAAATTTAATCACCCACAATATTATTGGCCCTACATTAGTAAAGATATTGGAAATTTCGTGAAACATTGCCATGTTTGTCAAATTAATAAAAGAAAAAACCAAAAAATTTGGACTTATGCAAGAAGTACCGCTGACTGATAAACCTTTTGAATGTCTTTCTATTGATACAGTTGGCGGTTTTAATTATTATAATTCTACAAAAAAATATTTACATCTTGTGATCGATCATGCCACAAGATATGTCTGGGCTTTTCCATCTAAAAGTGCAACTACAGAAACTTATGCTAATATTTTGAAACAAATTTTCCAAATTCAAGTCCCCGAAAAAATCCTTAGTGACCGCAATGCCGCATTCACCTGCAATAGATTCAAAAAATTTCTTAGAAATTATAATGTAAAACAACTTCTAACTACTGCCCATCACCCCCAGACAAATGGTAAAGTAGAGCGTGTGAACCAAACCCTAGTAACCCGTTTAAGATGTAAAGTAAATTCTACATCATCGAAAATTCCATGGACGAAAATTTTGGATCAAGTTATTAGTGAATATAATAATTCCCCTCATTCGGTAACTAAATTCACCCCTGCATATCTTTTACTCGGAAAACTTCCTTTCGATTCTCCCCTAGATCAAAATACTTACCCTCCGGTTGACATAGCAAGAAAATTAGCTAAAGAGAGAACTATTGAATATCATAAAAGGAATAAAAGTCGTTATGACACAAAATTTGCAGATGTAGATTTTCAACCTGTGATTTTCAAACTGGTGATCTAGTTTTATTTGATGAATTTGAATTTCCGAATACACGTAAATTGACACCTCCCTATTCTGGACCATACCAAATTGTCAAAAAATTATCTGAGGTTAATTATGAAATTGATAAAAAGAATTACCACACAAAGAAACCTACTGAT